CCAACCCACGGTTTGCTCTTCCTGGTGCTTCGTTGGTGATGTTGATGGTGTTCAATCTTATTTGACCATTAATAAAAATGAATGTCATCATGAAAAACAATCATGACATCCTTCCTTAACTTTATTCTTCCCTTTTACATGTAGGGCACAAAAAGGGTATCCCAATTTTAAGGTGAGGTGGCAAAAAACAAAATTGACTTGCACAAAATGATGGGAACGGGAATGAAAGGGGAAGCGGATAAAGATAAAACTAGATTTTCACGAGGGGACAATTTTAGTGTCTTTCAATTATGATCTGTTCTTGACTTCGTAGATCTTAGAACGGGAATCTAAATTCGATTCCAATACTCTTCTAAGGTATACATATATATATATATATATATATATATATATATATATATATATATATATATATATATATATATATATATATATATAAGGTAATTCGTCTTTAGAATGTTCGAATTTTTCCAAAAAAGGTGATAGGCTCATTGAAATTACCTGCCTGAGGTTGAATGTTAAAAAGTCTTTGCGATTGAATGTTAGATAATTCAATAAATTCCAAACGTGGATATCGACATTATGTTTCCCCATATATCTTTTTTCGTAATTTCCTGCCTCAACATCGGAATTTGCGGATTATGAATGCTTCCATGCACTTGTATGAGCTAATAATGGCTCATGTTGAACATTCACACTTGAACATCTTGACTCCATCCCGGAGGCGAAAATGTAGAAGAGAGAGAGAGAGATATGGAGAGGGTGGTAAAGAAGACGGAAGAGTGGGAAAGCCAGACGGACTGACAAACAGAGAGAGAGAGAGAGAGAGACAGAGACAGACAGAGACAGACAGGCAGACTGACAGAGAAATACACGTGATACATAGAGATATAGATAGAGAAAGAAAGATAGGTAGATATATATATATATATATATATATATATAAAGAGAGAGAGGGTGAAAGAGAGAGAGTGTGTGTATGTGTGTGTGTGTGAGAGAGAGAGAGAGAGAGAGAGAGAGAGAAAGAGAGAGAGGGGAGGGGAACAAGAAAGAGTCTGAAAAATAGAGAAAAAAATGACAAAGGGGACGAGAACGATATATGGAGAAAAGTGGGAAGAGGGTGGGGGTAAAGAAAGATTAAAGCTTATCTGCCGTAGTTTACAGGAGGGATTAGACCGCCCTGCAAGGTCACTGGACAGGTGTTTATCTCATCAACTCAGCTCTCAGTTAACATAAGAAAAAGAGGATCATGGGGGACCAATGATCACCGATTAGGCATTGTTTGTTATATAGAGGGCGCAAGTAGCTACAAGTAGTGCAGTGGGCCTTTAAAAGAGAAATGGGAGATTTTTACCATGAATAAACTGTAAGTAAAATGCTTTCGATCATCGTATCCAAACATTGTATTTTGATCACACTGATTATTTTTAGTATGTGAACCTTACTTCCTGATATTAAAAAAAAAGTTTTCTTTCTACTTTTCCTCTTTCTTTCTTAACTCATTAGTCCCGGATCACAAGCTGTTTGAAAATAAATCGACGTCCTTTTTTGTGAAAGAACAACATCTCTATGCACTTGACCTACTTGAACTACTTGACTGCAAATCCGCAGTTGGAGACGGGAAAAAAGAATCAAGGGAAAGGGGCAGAGAAAGTTTGATCTTTATGTTAAAATTCATGAATAGCCTGCTTCCTGATTCATTAAAAAATGTATTTGTATTATATAACACTATCCGCCCTTACCCTATACTGCATTAATTAAACTTTCATTTGACCAATCCTTAACTATTGATCCTGCATAAATCAATAAGACATTATGGTCCAGATTTATGGAATTCACTCACAGACATAAGGAGCACGTTTTGGCCGGCGAATAAGCGGTTGGGGGGGGGGGGGGGGGTGGGGGCACTTTTTTATTGGCTCAACGGAGGGGGGGGGGAACACTCCTTTTTTTTCTACAACATCCACCCCCCCCCCACCCCTGCTTATGGAGGGGCATAGATAAAACGCAAATAAAGGGTGTTTTTAAACACCCCTATTCGCCAAGGTGGGGGGGGGGGGTGTTTGAACACCCAAAACACCCCCCCCCCCCCCTTGATACGTCAATCGTCATCATCATCATCACCATCTTATTTGTTTATAAATTCTTGTAATCATCCACCCCGCCCGGGCTCTTACGTATTCAAGCAAAGTTAACGCTTATTGTGAAAGCACCTCTTCTTCTGCAGAGTTATTAATGAACAGTTCTTGATAGCGTGTTATCAGTTACATTTTGTTTTAATATCACTATTTCTTTTAGCCTGAATTTACATAGTTTATACGTTCAAAACAATTGTTATATCTTGTATAATTATGTTGTATCGTTGGAATGTAATGTTATTTGTATGTTTTGCAGAAGAAAATAAATTTAATTTAATTCAATTCAATTAAAAAAAAGAGAGGGGATAGAGAGAGGGGGAAGAGGCTGAAAGAGGGAGACTGAAAGAGAGGAAGAGAGAGAGAAAGAGAGAGAGAGAGGGAAGAGAGGGGGAAGGAATAAGAACACAGAAAGGGAGAGCGTGTAGAAGAGTATGATAAAGGGAGATTGTGATTATTGTTACAAGTTTGCTTAACATGTCTAAGAAAACTGTTGTAAAAGTGTAGTGTAACATACGCCTGCATCATGATGGCATTCTCTTTCATAAAATCTCTCCTACATCTCGAAATCCACCCCCTCCCCCCCCCCCCCCCTCTTTCTCTCTCATAGGGTCGTAACTTTTCCGTATGTATTCTTCTCTGCCTGCCTTGGGCACCCTTGCTTTACAAGTTGCAGTTAAACACAACTCTGTAAGATCGAACGCACATTGACCAAATGAGGACCTTCATAAAATCAGAATTGGGCACTTAGATAGTTCATCGAATCAGAACCCCACACTATTAACTATTAGTCATTCAATGACAATGACAATGACAATTTATTCTCATGTCACCCACATTGGGGTATTGGAGAAGAGAAAAAAAATCGCGCACTTATACTTCAGCCAATCGGGAAGGCGCACTTCGAACTTTTAGACAATGAGAATCGCGAACTTAGAACTCTCAGCCAATCAGAAGCGCGCACTGGCAGCTTCCGGTTAATCAAAATCACGCTCTAAGAACCCTCAGCCAATCAGAATCGCGAAATTAGAGTTTTCACCCGTTCGCGTGCGTATTAAGGTCTCGGGTGTGTTGCAATATGGGTTGCAATTAATAGCTTTAACACATTATTTTAACCTGTTAAAGACCAAACTGAATTTCCTGACGCGCAGTGTCTTACAATGTATTTGGTGTACACGTTAGTATTTCCTTAATTTGATTTTAGGAGAAGTCAAGCACTTTAGTGACACATATATCATGATTTGAAATTGGAATAAAACCTGAAAACTCCCCATATCCCCCCATAATTGTTTTGATATTCAGTGATGTCATGTCCAGGGTCTATAAACAAAGCATCGAAACAATGTTTACCTGTATCTGACCTTCACTTTGTGAACTACATAATAATAACAGACTTTCTTTCTTCCTCTTCTTTTTTTCTTTTTCTTTTTTTTTTTTTTTTTTGGGGGGGGGGGGGGGGGGGGTCTAATGTACTAGTATTTCCATAGGTTTAAGAGAAGGAGGAAGAGAAGAAGATTAAAAAAAGAGGAGTACAAAGTAAGCAGAGTACAAAAGAAGAATAAGATGGAAAAAAGGGCGAAAGAAGAAAACGAAGGCATCGTCCAAGAAGGATAATAAACAAAACTACGATTTTGATTTTAGATGTTCATCGTAATAGTTTTTTTTTATTTCTGTCAGAAACAAAAACATTTACCATAATGCCCTCCTAAACACACTTGATACCTTCATGGGACGTTTAAAACACCCAAGCGACTATACTATGAAATTGCCATGACGTATTTTAATGGTCCCAAACGATCGCTGTTCGGTTTCACTTCCAACTGCTTTTAAATGTTGACTTTAAAAAGTCTCCGACACCAGTGCGGTAGGGATTTCTAATCCAAACAAGTGACTGTTGCTGTAGTAATAATTAAAGCTATCTAGGAAGTTGCGACTCGTATGCTCTGACTTTCCTCAGACGTGTACTGGCAAACTAAATTTTAAATTTCATTTCCATGGCAACGAGACGTTTTCGAAATAATAACAGCAACCCGTTATGCTCAACTCGCTTTCTCCGTCGGCTCTATCGGGACATATTCTTAAAATTGTATTGATCACAAGAACGTATGAATAAAAACTTCATAAGTTTCGCTCGTTATCTTTCAAAGACCAACATGTGTAAGAACGAAAAACAATTTCTCTGAAAATCTACAGGATGGTGAATCCAAAATAAAAGTAGAATGTTTTGTTCTGCATAGATTTCCTTTTCATATTTTTAAAATGGCTTGATACACACACACACACACACACACACCTGTTTCATGTTAATGAAACAGTTGCAATATTGTATATAACGTTTGCCGTATATAGTTAAGACATAATTTAGCACAGCCAATAGACACCAAAATATCTTAAAGGAAATAGTAAATTGAATTCATACATATGTATATATTTTTGTTTATTTCTATCTGTTGTAAGTTGGTTCTATACCTTTAATAAGTGTTGTTGAATTTCTCTATACCTTGACTACATTGCTGTGCATATTCAGTACGTTGTTTTGTATGTTTTTTATTGCCATTTTCATCGAATTGTTGAATGAATGAAATGAAAATGAACAAATTGTGTGTTTTGTTCATACGATACAAGACGCTCTCCCAGACATCCTAACATACAAATCGATCTAGGTCAGTAAAACACGTAACAATCATTTAGCACTAGGGAGACATTTATCGAGTTGAAGATTCGAACGGGGATTCCTGAGCGACCGACCTTTACTTTGATCTACCGATCCTTCTAAGCCGACCGTTAATCGACCGGTCCTCAAGCTAAAGAACCGACAGGCCCATATGTAAAACTAAAAAATCAGACTCTCAGACACTCACAAAATTATGTTTGAATCTTTTATTGAACATTTCTGCTTTACGAAAATTGTACGATTTCAGGAAAGGTTCTGTTTTGGCAAAATGGTAGAATAGCTTGGTTTGCTGGAAAGTTCTGCAGATTCCATTATTTTTAAGCTCCAAACTTTCTGATGTTCTAATTCCAGAAAAAAAATCGACGTTGCCCATACTCTTAGTTCCTTATCATGTTAATACCCCGGTTTCACCTTGAAACCGATGCGAAATACTCCAAAACCGACCGGGTCTCGGCAATTTAGGGTAATGCAATCTTATGTTCGGTCTGTTGTCGATCTGGTACCGGTTTTGTCGGAGTGAATCCGCTCATTCCTGACTCATGATTTAACATATTATTTCATGATATCCGGATAACGATCGTCACTCGCAAAGGGTTTAAACTTCATTGAAGCCAAGCAGACTGTTCCGTCTCGACTCCTTAGGATTTGTTCTTGTCCTTAAATAGCGGCAATCGCGAAGCTCGTCCCAACTGAAGACGTCCGATTTCTCTTCGCTCTCCACAGTGAGATCGACTGCCTGTTTCACAAGTCTCATTGACTCGTCACGGTTACGATGGAGCAGGCGACCGCTTGGGTCGACTACGGGAAGGCGAATGTCGGATGGGAGGAGCTGTTGATTGCGGTTGAGACCTGGGGCAGTGGAGGATGCCGCAGCTGCAGTGATGAATCTGGAGAGAGAGAGAGAGAGAGAGAGAGATGGAAGAGAGAGAGAGAGGGAGAGAGATAGAGGGAGAGAGAGAGAGAGAAAGAGAGAGAGAGAGAGAGAGAGAGAGAGAGAGCAGAAACAAAAATAAGGAATTACTAGATATAGAGACGTCAGATTATGAAAAAAGTGACAATAAATTAACATTGAGGCGTTAGCACGCGTATGATTTACTTTTCGCGAACATGATTGCAACCACTTTCGACTCCAAAATAATTTCAAAACCCTTTTGTACATTCCATAGAAACCATGGTCCGATTAAGTACTATGTCATGGTCATGTTCCCACCATGGAATAGATGACGTGCTATGCTTCATGAAATTTCCTTAGGTTGGTTTTTCGAAAGGAGTTGCGATCGTGGTGACGGCATTTTACGGCTTGTTAAAGCTGATCTGTACTGGTTAATAGGAGGGATTAGACCACACTACAATGTCACTGGACAGGTGGTTATCTCATCAACTCAGCTCTCAATTAACATATTAAAAAGAGGATCATGGGGGACCAATGGTCACCGATTAGGCATTGTTTTCCATAATTATAGAGGGAGCAAGTAGCTACCAGTAGGACAGTGCGGCTTTAGATCACTTCTTACCTTAGAAACTGGTAATTAAAGTTAGCTCGAAAACTGTTGCAACGTCATCTATTTCATGCACTGACATTTGAGATCGTTATGCATGTGAATAATTATTGAAACTAACAATTAAATAAACAAAGCTGTTTCTAGTCCACAATTTAAACATTATTTAACTTCCTTTTTTTCCCTGACTGTGCAAGGACCAAGCAAATTCATCAAAGGGTATATCTCTTTCAAAAATATCATACGATAAAACCTCAAATTCTGTAAAGATTCTCATTTCTGAATACTTATTAAAAAGAACCCAGCTTGAATATCATTAAAGACGAAGTCTGCATTTGATAGGGCCTAAGATATACCACTCAACACAAATAACAAGTAGTATTGAAGCTGTTTATAAATAAAAATAATAGCTAGTTCTTATATAGCGCTTTTCAGGACCGAAGGCCCTCTCAAAGCGCTTTACAGATATAAATATTATTACCCCGGTCATAGGATTCAGGCTTACCCGCACACAATGTATGCACATTCTCCACTCCCTGGGGAGCATTCCAGCCAGGCGTCTTGTTTACAAGCGCACACATGCTAATCTTAGGCTGTAGATGAAAAAGTAACGAATGTGCCCGCCCCCTTGTAATTTGTCTACTGGCAAAAGCTAAAAACAGTTTGTAACGGTATCTGTTTGATCATTTCATTCAAACATGGGTTTGGGATGTAGGTCCCCAGTGACGCAAATAAATGGGAGTGTTTTACCTACTTTCTCTAGTTCCATAATTACTGAAACGTAAAATATCAAGAGAGCTTTAAGGGTTTGTTATTGTGATCACGGTTGAAAGGAAGGTAAATACGTTGAAAAGGACAATATTAAAGCAGATTACTGAGCTTTCGTTTTTAGTCAACAGAGTCCTTAAAAGCTTTACTTTGTGTTGCTTTGTTGTTACAGATACATGTAGTTCAGTATATGCAAACAGGTTGCTCAAGTGCGTAGTCCCAGTTGTATTTGTAAACGTCTGATTCGGACATTATATTCACCTCAGTTGAACGTTGAATTACAACAATGCATGTAAATGACAACAAGTTTTCAATGAATACATGATCAGAATAGTAAAATATATTTTTCTTTCTACAAAAACACGTAGGATTTGTGTTAATAGTGGTAAGTAATAGTTGAATATGACCTTAAATAGGGTAAAAGTACTTTTGTATGATATAAAATGTTGTTCTTCCCAAAGGAACTGCCTTTGAATTCATCAAGCAAACTCCTTTTTGGGGTTTCGCTATTTTTATTCCTAAAGATTACAGGGGCAAGAGACATGTCTTGCTTTTTGCATGCAAGGTCCTACGCAAGAGCCTATGTCAATCATACTAGCGTTGTATTTTGTTGCGCAGTGTCCACGCTTTGCAATAATTTAAAATTTGAAATTACGAATATTATTGTGGGCAACTACCACCATGACCACCTTATATTCAGGCACCAGCCACCTTTAGCATATGGGAAGTTATATACCTTTAAAAAATTATCTTATCTATAATATATCGAGGTCAACGTAACACTTTCACTGTAATAAGATGTTGGGATTTTGGTTGCAAAATTTAGAAACCTAGAAGTTGATATGCTTTTTGGCAAGAAACGTCACCCATTCCCCCATGCCAATACGTTCCATATATACAGTGTATATTTTAATTTAAATAGTGGATTTAAAAAAAAAATAACGAAATGAAGTAGGCCTATTATTTTGTTGTAGCGTCTTACTTTTTTAATATGTAACTTTAATTGTGTATACAATCTACAAATTCATTTTAGAAAGCTTTGAACACACACAGTTTGTTTTTATCTTATCTTACTTATCAGACCTACATGTATAAAGTGTCAATTAGTTTGCCAATTAACCCTTGATCACGGGAGCAGTGATCAATATATTGTCCAACTTCACACAATACATATATGTTTCCACACGTAATACTGATTTATTTTGTTTCTCTCGTTGTTAAAACACAACTAAGATGGTAATGAGTCGGTAGCTGAAAGCGTAACTCAAACTGTTAGATTACATCCGATACCCGACTATACTAATGGTTTCAAAAGGCAGGTCCACCCTGGTATTAAATTGGATTTGATATAAACAGAAAAATAAGATGTACATGACAGTGAGTGTTTGAGCAAATTCAAATTTAAAAAATAATGAAGTTATGATTCTTTGAAGTTGCGATCAATCTATAACAAATTGGCAACTCTGTGACGCATCTTGCGAGCTCTATTTCCATTTGCTCTGTACTTTTTTTTATTTTTTATTTTTTTAATCAGATTTTTTGTATTTTCCCTTAAGAAAATGTTCAGTCATACATGCACTCAACTACAATTAATATTGCAATTTGCAAATATTTTTTATTCAACCCCTGTATGGAAACAATTTATTCAGTCATCAATAACGGAGAAAATGAAATTTCATTAAAGTTTATGCACAGAGCAAGCTTTAGAGAGGAGCACGCGAGAAACGTCAAAGCGCTGTCAATTTGTGAGTGATTGATTGTTACTTCAACAATCCATGACTTTCTTATTTCTAGTCGAAAATTGCTCAAACTTTCATTGACCTGTTCCTCTCATTTGTCTGGTTCCATTAAAACCTACTGAATCTCAGAGTGGACTTCCCTAATAATATCAATTAGGTCTCAGATCATCTAGATGCCGGAGAAGAATAAATACATTTCCAAAGAATTACTTTGACTCACACCGTATTCAATGGTTGTTGATTCAATTGATTCTAAGTCGGGAAATAGAGGGTTCGAATCTCAGTCTTGGCATTATATCGTCGTTTGGCAAAACTTTAATATCCAGGTGTCATTCTCCACCCGGGTGTATAAAGGTCAACCTCTTATTATTTAGCCGTTTATCTTTTAAGTAATAATAATTATAATAATAATAATAATAATAATAATAATAATAATAATAATAATAATAATAATAATAATAATAATAATAATAATAATAGCCTAATAACTAAACTGAAACGGAAATTCTTTTTGCCCAATTGATCGTGAGCCCGGCAGCCACTGAGCAGCGCCAGATCGACGTTGCTCTATCCCTTATTGTTGAACGCTAAACAGGGTAGCAACAACTCCCATCTTTTAACGTCTTTTTGTATGACGCGGCCGGGGTTCGAACCCACGACCTGTGAGGCAGACGCTCTACTGACTGAGCCAACACTCCGGTAAGGCACACGCAGAACACGCATGCAAGAACTACAATCCTATCGAACCACCCCCCCCCCCCCCCCCCCCCGACAACACCGACAACAAATTCTTTCAGAACCGCTCATGTCACATAAATTGTCTTAAAGGGGGTTGTTCTTATACGTACCTGATAATGTTACCAGCTGTCTTCATGTCAATCCTCGATTCAAGCTCGTGGTGGCTTCGAGCAGGGGTGATCGGACGATGCCTCAAAGACTGGTCGCTGATCTTCCGCCTCGGCTTCGGTGACCGCTCCGGTGACGATGCCGACACCTCAGAAGAACCCGTGTGGCTATCCCCGCTCACCGACGTCGCCGTATCACGAGAGCGTAACCGCGACCGCGTCCTCAGTCCGCGGTTTCCGTCCGACGCGGTCGACTGCAGACTATCTTTGGTAGGAACGGTAATCAGTGTACCAGGTTTTGCGGTAAAGTCATCACCGGTAATGGCACAAGTTGGAAGTTTGCTCTCTATTGGGAATTTGATATGACGTCGCGGTGACGTCTTTTTGATATTGTTTTTACCCCAATTGGCTTTATTAACCACATACTCGACTTGGGAGAGAGATTTCTTGTCTTTATCTTTATTGGTATGATTGTTTTGATGGTTCGTGTTTCCGCTAGAATGAAGGATCGACTCTCCCGTGTTCGTTTCTCCATCGCAATCGTCATCGCTTCCTGGAACATCAGCTAATTCAATGTCTAACTCAAGTTCGCTCATTGTGGAAACCTCGTCGGGTATCTTATCGACTTGTAAGAGTGGCGGAGAACCGAGCGTAGTCCGTGCTAACGAAGACCGCCTCACCATTAGATCGCCAGGGCTCCTGGTTTCGAGCGAGGCACTCGGCCGTTCGTGGAAGTCCGTCATTATTTGCTGGAACAGAGAGGATGACGTCGGCAGTGGTATGTGATGGGAGACGGAGATAACCGGTATGTCTCCATCATGATCCGGAGCTTCCCTTTTGAGTCCAGTTGTGTTTTCTCTCCGGTATGCATCATCGCCTGTCCCGACATCCTGCGTCAAATTAGTGGACGATTTTTGCGAGTCCGACCGAGTGAGAGTCGGCAACTGCCGCGGCAGTCGCGGACTCCGCGGACTCCGTGGAGACGATGGCAGTTTCGGACTGACCAAGCTCGAGTTCCACGGCGTAGTATTGGCATTTGATCCCTCTCGGAGCGACGTTTGCCAGTTCCGCGGTGACGATAACGGGGACGATGTCGTCTTGTTTCCGACACCAACACCAGTCTGATGTTGATTCTGATGATGATGTCCATTTGCGAACGGCTGTATTTGAGCGGGCTTATATTTCCTCCCAGGACGTACCGACCTCGCCTTGCTGTCATTTCGAGACATATCCGAACAGGTCCCGTTTGTGCATTCATCTGATGTGTTAGCTGGCTGCTCGACTAAGATGGGCAGGCCGAAGGTTAGTTTCGTCTTTGGTCTCTCTTCTCCATACCACTCATCGTCCGTAGACCGTGCCCCCATGCTGACGTCACGCGGCTCGATGACCCCGGGGTTCGCAGGGTCAACAATGGAATCAACAGAAGAAGTCATGGCTACCATTTGTTCCTATTATTCGAAATGTTTGAAGAGCACACAAGTGATGGGTTGAAATGTTGATTCAAATGTTGGTCTCGTCACAATATTTGTCTTCCAGATAATGGCTACTTATCACAGATTTCATTCCATCGAGAGGGTTGACTTTCAATCTCATCGACTCTTGAGATGTTTGTCCGTTTCGTGATTGACTGTTGCCGTTCTTCAACAAACCTGCGGGGGGGGGGGGGAGAACATAGCAAAATATCTAAGAAAGACAAATTCAGCCATTGGCTTATCCTATAACAGTTAAATAGGAGTACTGATTTTCAAACTACACTCTTCCCATCAAAGCTTTATTCCAATACTGTAATTATTATCATAAATAATTATAGTTCATTATTTAAGAGATTAAAGATTTTTTTTACTTTTCCATTCTAACACAATGCCAACCTTTTAAAATTTATATTTAAAAACGAAGACCCTAGCATTGCTATAGGCCTTTCCTATAAACATATTAAACTGTCGAGAACATTTAACTCCCCGCTGGGAAATGAAAACTATGAAATCTAATTCTGGTCTCATATTTCTGCTTAGTTGCTAGAAAGTGCATGGGATGGGCATCACTGTATCATGAATTAGTCTGTGTGAATAGACCGTGATGTCAAAATAAATATTTGTATTGACCAAGAACCAAGAAGAGGTGTTGTGGTCTGTTGGATAGATCTCCAGACTGTAAACCACCAGGAATGGGGTTCGAATCAATACCGCAGGACTTGAACGTTAGTTGATGAGACATTTATCAACATTTGCAACAGTGGACCCAGGCGCAGTAGACGCAATGAGCGCTACAGTTGCTCTAGCTAAAGCCGGGGTAATAATTTACAATATTTTGTTGGAAAATGGAAAGGCATATTGGGCGGTGTCACACAGAGGCCAAAAATCCGGATTTTAGTTATCCTGTTAATTGCTGTCTGTCATCAATTATCCCATTAAAAATCCTCTAATGAAGCAAGAAAATTCTCCCTTGAAAGGGGATGTTTCTGTGTGACACCGCCTATAGAGGCGTTGCGTCATGACGTACTATACGATTTAAAAGAATGGCATGATATTGTCATTCATGTCTTCACACTGTGAACGTCATAAGTAAAGCACATCGCACATCGGTGTGATATGTTTGTAGCTCTCAAATGACATCATTGCTCTGTGTGACAAACATTTACCTCTCTTAAATCCAAGCATTGTAATATCAATAGGACGAACTGCCTTGTTGACATCGCCAGATCTATTGGATAGATTGACACGTCAAAAGTAATTGATTTTCACGCATCGATCTTGCATCATGCAGGCAATCAAAGGAAATTATGCCGGTGCAGGGTGGTTCTAAAACGTCTACATGTATATGAAAACATTCAAGAGTGGCGGATCAGGTGGACTCATGGGGGGCTAGTCCCTCCTCATCCTTCTTACATGTCTTAAGACATTTCCCAATGCATTTTCATGATGTAATATACGATTTAAAAGAACGGCGTGATATTATTATTCATGTCTTCATATTGAATACATCATAATTATGTCACATCGGGTGTAAGGCAATCAGAGAAAACTATGGTGGTTCTATATTGAAAACATTCAAGAGTGGCGGGTCGATTAGACGCAAGCAGATATGGGCCCAGTCCTTGCCCTTCTTTTAACAATGCTTTTAACAAGTAATCCTCAGTATTTACTTGTCATAAACTCAATTAATCAGCCAATTTCTATCAATATTCCTCACTTAACAATGATTACAAAAATAAGAATAATGACGAATCTATTCTATTTGTATCATCAATTTGTTTGCTAGCATGGAATCTGTAATAAGTAATGATGTGTTTTGCTGTTTATTATTTGTATTTGTCTATATCTAAGTTTTGTTGAAATGCTTTTTAAAACTGAGCTTGTAAAACTTGCATAGTAATTTAGCTCTCGGGCTACCATTTTGCAGTTGTTCTAATAAAACAATTCTACTACTACTAATTCAAACATCATTTCATTGGGATTTTTTTTAATGGTCGTTAGTTTTGCTTTCTTGAAAGTCTGTGCGATTGCGTTGAATGCGTATTTACCTGTTTGCATGTTAATGTATTGGCTTCATATCCAAAGTTGCAACACAAAGTTCCGTAGTAAGTGGTCAATCCAACGGTAATGATGATCTGTGTGGCGTCACGTTCGGGTCTTCAGGAATAAAAGTGGGTCCTGACCAATAGGTTTGGGTCTACATTCTTAGTCCTTCTTTGTTGACCTATTAATCCACCAGCGTCAATCACTGAAAGGGACCTTCTTTCACATGGTCAGCAATGTTTGCCAAGTAAGCCAGAGAAGTTCCCGCTAGTAGTAGCCTCGTAATTACTCCTTTGCAATCGTCTGCGAGCTTGAACGACCTGAGTAGAAAAGAGAAGCCAAACTCCTTTGAAAGTGTTTTTAAATGTATTCAGGGTAAAGAGACAAATCCATCGAACCACTCCAAGTGTATGCATCATTCTTGCTAAGGTATAGAGTTTCTGGATATTAATGTTTTCCCTTAGTTGGTCACGTGATTTTGTTTTAAATTATATATTGTTATATATCCTTTTTCTCATTTTTCTTACTTACTTTTTTCGTTCTTCTTCTTCTTCATCTCCTGCTTTGTTTTTCCTTCTTCTTCTCCTCCTCCTTCGCCTTCTTCTCCTCCTTCTTCTCCTTCTACTTCTTCTCCTTGTTCTTCTTTATCTTCTTCTTTGTCCCTTCCTTTTTTCTATACTTCTTCTTTATGCATAGTCCACCTCTGGCGTATGTTATCACCAGGTATGATGTAGGCCTATATACCTGAAAATACCTCGGCATCAACGTACATGCACGACATGTATTGCAGGCTAAAATATCTACCAGGTAAAAGCAAAAGCTAGCATTCCCATCTAGACCGACAAAACGACCTCGATATACCCTATGTAACTCTGATTTACAAGATGACAGTTTCAGTTACTGCTTACCTTTTACTGAAAATAGGGTGGTTCTTTTAGATAATATCCGAGGAAGATGTAAGACTCTGGATGATGACAGCTCCACATCGTCCAGTCTTCAGCAGGGCAGAGGTCACCCAATCTTGATTCCAAGCTCCCTGTTTCAAGAAAACTGCCTTACCTTTTGATGGTTGTTCTCCCAAGTTCTCCCAGTCATTTTGGTTAGATTTACAGCAATTAGTTCTCATCTTCTTTGGTGCTGAGGGGCGTGTTTTCTTCTCTTCGTAATCAGAACAAAGCTAGCCACAACGGGGGTGTCGTTAAAAGATTTCAATGCAAACGGTCGATACACCTCAATGGATAGCCGCGTATAGCTGAAAGGAATCCAAGATGATAGTCCACGGTGTCACTGTATACAAGTAAAAGGAGGTGTATCTGCTTTTGGAACTTCTCTGTAAATCGATAGACGGTTTTCCTTTTTTGTTAAACCTACATTTGAATACAAATCAATTGCCGCCCTGTTCAGTGAGCAGGCCGCACCCTGACTGAAAGGATTTTGATGTGACGTTTTGACGTAATGGGTTCGGATAAGATCATCCTAAAGTTAACAATGCAATGGATATGTTTAAAGCTGAGTTTAAAAGATTGTTTCTTGCACTTAGGAAGCAAACAGTGATATAATATATGAGCATTATTCAGAACAATCCTAACTTTAAGGCTATGCATTTGCCAGCGTTAACAAGTAAAGCTTGGCAGGTTATAAACACAAATAAATTGTGTATTTTGCTCTTTTTGTCAGAGTGACGCAGAATAATTTTTGCTTGAGATGGTTACTATGGTTGCTATGGATTTAATGCCAACATGTTGTCAACGATGGATATGTTGGAGGGATGGAGAAGGGAGAAGGGGATGAATAGAAAGGAGAGAAGAGAGAGAGAAAGGGAGATAGAGTTAGAGAGGGGACTCGGAAGAGAGATCTAGGGGGAAAGAGAGATAGGGATGACGAGAGGGGAAGGATGAAAGAGGGAGAAGGGGTGACTAGTAAATAGAGAACAGAGAGAGAGAGAGAGAGAGAGAGATAGGGAGAATGGTGAGGGAATGAATTATAGTAGTCAAAGTTCGATTTGTCATATTTTCTGCAATTTGTTTTACGTGTGCAGAAGAATGAGAGAGAGTGTGTGTGTTTTTTTTCTAGATTCAGATTCAGTTCCAGTTTAGTTTATTTCATATTTCTCATTCACATTCATTACATGAATCAAATCGATAAAACAATGAGATTTTTTTTTTAAATAGGTTTAAAAATACATACAATAATATCAAGCCATGAAAGTAATAATACAGTCAAAATAACATACAGAGGTATAAACACAATTGCATGGTGTTAAAACAAATAAATGTGTAGTGCAGTATGGGGGAATCTCGTAAAAAGCTACTCTCTAAAAAAAATCGAGTGATCACGGACGTCATTCCTCTGGAGAGTGAAAATGTAGTGACAATAGAGTGAACATTAACTCTTTTCTTCTTAGAGAGCATTCTCAAATCAATCGATATTCACTCCTAAACAAGTGATCCCTGACGTCACTCCCAAGAAAGTGAAAATAGAGTGAAAATTCACTCTTTTTTTTGTTAGAGAGTAAGCTTGTAAACTATAGATTTCCTTGTATAAAGTAGAGTAGTCTATTGAGCATGTATATAGATTATGTTCAATAAAAGTTTTTTTTTTAAACGAGAAAGGCGAAAATAAGACGAAGTACAGCAAGAAAGAGCAATTATGTATCAAATGTTCGTTTAAAGGTCTAGTATATAGATTACAACATGATGACAGTAACATGAAGCGGGAAATGAACAGCAATTCGTAGTATTACAAATTAAAACCAAATGTTATATTATTCGTCCCTCGATCGGCCAGCAGAATGAAACTTATATATAAAGATCGAAGCTGCGGTGGAATACAACAGCCCGCGATACCACCTAACACCTACACAAGCTACTAACACTTGTTAATTGATTGTTACACCTGTGAAGTCAAGAGAGGTGTAACTTGTCACCCCCCCCCCCCCCTCCCGTTGATGTGTCCTGACTACCGCAACTATACCAGGGGTGTGTTTAGGATACGAGACGACATAACAAAGAAAGTACTTTGACCAAAGTTATGTTTCGTTTGTTTTGTGTATTTGTTTTATTTTGTTTGTTTGTTTGTTTTCCTCTCCTTATTCTTTTTCGTCTTCTTCCTCTTTCGTTCTCATTCTTCGTCAACTTCTTCCGGGGGGGGGGTACTCTTCTTCTTATTATTATTATCATTCCTCTTTTCTTCTTCTTCTTCTTCTTCTTCTTCTTCTTCTCTTTCTTCTTCTTCTCTTTCTTCTTCTTCATATTCTTTTTCTTCCTCTTCTCCGTCGTCTTCTTTTTCACATTCGACATAAAATAACACAAATTCATAGTAAAACCACCCGATACTCTCAAAACAACTAACATATAACATATAACAAAACAAGAAAAAGGTGTCTTGCTCGATGATACACATACACTGCCAAATCCCTTGGGGTAATCGTGCTATGGAAAGAGAAAGAACAAAGTGTCAGAATGAAACGTATACACAGAGGTGTCAAATCGATTCGCGTTTATTGATTTGATTCGATCACAACCTTTACCTGGGAACAATGATGAAATAAGAAGAAGGAGAAAGAAGATGAGAGAAAACAAAAGGTATTACGTTATTTTTTTTCTTATGTGTTCGAAGAAAGGAAGAAAATATAGGAATTGGACCACTTTAAATATTCATTTGATACTTCTTGAAGCAATCTTTTAAATGTCGTTTACAGTGCATATCTAGGGTAAAATCACAAAGACATCATTATAAACAAGCTGATGAAAAAATCGAATACATTCATTTAATAAAACAAAATACTGATTTCGATAAAACGCATGCACAAATTTCGAAAGAACTATTGTTCGTCATAGGGGCTGGCGTTCATCAATCGACATGACAAAGCTATAACCAGGAGTAGAAGAATATTGCCTACCACTATATAACTTTTCATGTATGCTAAAAAAAACTATCAATTTTTTATCAATTGCCCACTTATATACTTTTAAAGTATATAAGTGGGCAATTGATAGCACGACTGCGATTCCAATGTATTTGCTATATAAATGCCTTTTGGGTTACGTAATCATTGTACATGTATTACGTTTTTTTTATTTTTTTTTTAATTTATTTATTTAAAAACTTTTTGCTTGCGCATTCAAAATGGTAGATGAAAAATTTGCCTTAGATGCCTCGGTATCGTGATGACTGCTTTTCGGCACAATTAAGCCATATCATTGATGCCTTCTATACCATGGTGGAATTTTATGGCAATTTCGCAAAAAAATGGCCGTAAAATGCCAGATCAATATTAAAATGATCATTTATTAAACATGGATATTTATGTTCACGCCACGGACCAATGTTGGATGGGGAGGTGCTCAACTTGAGTGCCCCGTGGCATTGGGTTCATAAATCGGCTTAAACCAGCTTTTGGGCAAGAAAATAGGGGTATTTGGGCCAGGGAGCCATCCACCCCATCCCTCTAGACTACACTCCCCACCCTATTTCTCCCCACACTTCTCTCTCTCTCTCTCTCTCTCTCTCTCTCTCTCTCTCTTTCTCTCTCCCTCTCTCTCTCTCTCTCTCTCTCTCTCTCTCCAGGGACTCGATAATATGGAAATGGTATCATTTCACCGGAAGGACTTAAACCTGAACCTTAATCTACCCTTGATCCCTTTATACCGGCTATAGCGTTTCCGAATCATCGAATGTTGTGTTTCAAAGACACAGTCCCACCTAGATAATCGATAACGATAACTATAGATTCATGATTTAAAGTAAAGTCTATCTGTTATCTACATATAGTCTAATTAAAAAATGAAGAAAGTATTGAAATGTTCCTAGAAAGAATTTAATTACATGCATTAAAGATTTAGTTAGGAAAATATTAGCGCAAAAGAGGGTTTATTCTTTTCTTACTGTACTAAAAGATAGGCCTAGTTGTTACCTTCCTTGTATTAAGATTATATGTCTTTCATTTCTGAGTGTGTTTCGTATGTGGCAAACTCACACTAATTTTATTTTGGAAAGAATAGTTTACTATGCGTTTGCTTTTGTTAGTTATCTTGACATAAAGTTTTGATCGCGCGCCAAAGCTTTAACAATACTAATTACTTATTATTTTTTAAATCAATAACAAAATATCATAGTTATCGCTATTCGTTAGTTGGGACCTGGGCTTGAAAGGGGGTTTCTCTCAAGTTTACCTGCTGAAAGTTTGGCAAAAATCCAAACCAACAGAGAGTCGAAGGATCTCAGGGTGTTAGAAAGGGAGTTTCCCAAACTCTGGATAAACAATGGATAGGAAATTATTTTGCCATACACCTCCTTCCGGTAAAGATGAAACAAAATAAAAAATGTATTCTTCATGTTCACTCTCAATGTCTTGATGTCAACACTTTTTTTCTGTCTCTTTCCGCTCTTCCTTTGTGGTAATGATTGAAGGCTAGGACCTTGTATTAAAGCTGTCGTATACTTTTGGTGTGCACGCAAATGTCACTAAAAATATCGTTAACATTTAGTTGATGAAAGAGAAATGAATACCGCCAGAGAGATACAAACTGACTACCCTCTGCCCTAACGTAGGGTGATATTTGGCGGACTATTTGTAGTTTCGTCTCTCACGCCTCTTCCTAACATGGGTGAAGAGAAATAATGTAGATCAAATGCATTGCTTTGAAGGTTACGCAACCCTCAACGACACCTTTAAACTCCGTTTCATCCTTTGTCATCTCCACCCCCAAAATACAGTCCAAACATTCATACAGATTAAGAACAGAACAGATTAAGTTCATTTGTAAAATATTTGTAAAACCCATCGAGAGGAATACTGGATACGTGCTCATGAAAGCTATGTAACATTATTCATGTATACACCGACCGTGACCGACGGTACGATCTATGGAACACAGGTGAAAGTATTCTTCTCAGGCAAGGGGGACAACAAACGGTTATCGTCAAGCACAACCATTATTTTGGCGGTGATTATTCTAAAATACACAAAGTTGGACTACTCCACGTGTAAAATACTATATTTGGGGTCATTTGTACCATGTGCTAACTATACGAACTGGTCCATCACCACACACAAACAAATTTGTAAATGGAGGTGACAAACTAGATAAAAATGGAGTAACAGTGTCCGAGAGAGGATTGATAATATTATTTGTTTAAACCAGGGAAGCCTCATCGGATTCAATGGTGTTCTTCCTGGGGACCCTGTAATTATTAGTACCCCAGCAGTACCAGGTACCCGTGAACACCTGGATGGAGAGTGGCAAATGCAGCTTAGTGTCTTTTCAAAGGACGTTATAGTGCCGGGCTTGGGTTCGAACCCACAACACTTGAGAGTCAAGTGAAGGAACCACTATACCTCAACACGTCCACTAGCCCAGCATCTGGCAGATTTAATTTTGATCTCCACCACACCAACGGAATGCGACCTGACCCTACTTATTCACTGCCAGTCGAAGGTGGCGTGTTCCTTAATGCAAGGGTCACTCTGTGGCCTGGACCCACCCTCCTCAGAGGTCGCCAAATATCGACGTCGACTCGACGCCTAAGCCTGACCCTGACCTATTTGTTGTTGTAGTGAAGTCCTAACGTTCGTTTTTCTTCATTGGGTGAAGCTTTACTATACAAATTGATGAAATGTGTGAAGCTTTGACGAGTAATTTGTTTTTTCTGGTGATGTGACATCGAATCCAATCGGTCGCCTTGTTTGTTCAGGTGATGTGACATCGAAGCCACTACCGGTCGCGTCGAAAATATGTCGAAATCATGTCGAAATCGTGCGTTTCAAAACAACTATTTAATTTTTATTCCGGTCACTCATGCACTCGCATGATTCATCAAAACCGTTTAGCATTTCTCGCTCCGGTTAACCGTTATTTGCATACATTTTGGAATGTGCTAATAGCCGATGATAAAGATAATCAAAGAAACCGCAGTGTAATATTACACCCTGGCCGCTGCGCGCTAGCTTTCTGGCAGCAGTTATCCCCATGAATGATTTTGTAAACAATAAAACAACCAGCCCCCTTCTCTCTTTTCTCACCCTCTTTATTCCCTTCTCTCTGCAATGTGTTCATCGCTCATGTACCTTTTCTTATTACTGCACTCTCAGCTCACAACTTTCTAAATGTTTACACATTCGATGGTCAGTTCCTCTCACATCCCTTCTCCCCCGAGTCTCTCTCTCTCTCTTTCAATATTAATATCCATCCCTTGCCGACTCGCCCCCTAAAATAATGTTCATATATAAATAAAATACAAAAATATTGATAACAATAATAATTGAACTTTTAGAAATATCAATCAACAAAGTCTTGGATATTATTTGTGAGTAATTTAAGTTTTTGATCATTCTTCAATTCAGCCGATTAACACAGCCACCCTTTCTTACTTCGATCTTCACTCATGTCCCTGCCTCGTCCATGCTAGGGACATGCAGGGACATGCTAGCCCATATGCATGCTCTCTCAGTCACACACACATGTACACACAAACCTCCGGCGCCCAAATACACTGTACATACACACAGATGGAGAGCTCATGCTTGTCACATGCACACATGTGGGCGTGGCTTCTTGACCTCCCACTGAACTGGGTACGGTGAAAGCACGCGCGGTCACCAACCTGTAATTTATGCTGGTATCAAACTCCACCCACATAGCTAGAGAACCTTCCTGATTGGTCACTAACTTGGATCAGCTCATTGCAGGGTGTGTCTTGGGTGTGTGTGATACACACTTCCACATAATTTCATATGGCAATGGTACATGCAGGGAGCTCTCTCCCTGACCATGTGCAAACATTGCATTGCAAAGGCATATATAAACACGTCACAGATCAGCTATCTTCACAGAGTAACTTTGCAAGGTTAATCATGATATCAAATTCAGATGAGGAATAATAAGACATGTTTTATGTTGTTTATTACTGGTCTCTGTTTATCAGGATGACCCAATTTGTGCCATAGTCCGGGGCTGGGAATGCTCAGCCCGACAGTCTGAAGACCAGCAGGGTTCCGAGCTACAGCACTATTAAAAATACTGTATTTTCACTTTTTCAGATTATTATTAAACGGTTAAACGAAACCGCCCGTATACTTTTAACGGTTAACCGTTTAGCACAAAAACCGTAATGACTCAGGCTTAGGTGAAACAGTGGTGAAGCTTGAACTATGCAAATGGCCAGTATGGTGAAACAGTGGTGAAGCTTCAGACCGGCCGAAAACTTACAAAAGTGAAGCCTCACCTATGGAAAACTGACACAAGTGAAGCCTCACCTATGTAAAACTGACAAAAGTGAAGCATCACCTATGCAAATAATTCAAAGGGTGAAGCCTGGACTAACACATTTGCTGATAAGAGTGATGCTTTGCCTTTGTTTTTTGTAAAGCACATGAAGTGATGGTGAAACCCTGAGGTTACAAATAATTGGCTCAGGTGAAGAAAGGTGATGACCTGAGGAGGGTGGGTCCAGGCCACAGAGTGACCCTTGCATAAATTAGGGCGCCCGGTGAAAAGAAAAAATCTAGGCTGGGCCATAGGGCTGGTGAGTGTACGAGTTCATTAATAACGCCATCTTCGGCGTCACGAATCAAGTGTAGGGCTATAAGGAACCGGCTAGATTCTGGAATATACGTTCACATGAATTAGATGTGCTTCGATTCAGGGTTTAAGCATTAGGCTCGAGTTGCGCGTACATGACCTCGTAAGCCACGCATTTCATCTACATATATAGTTTCTATCTACCATGATGTAAATTCTGCAGGTTTTTTTGTAAATCCTGTTTGTAAAACAATTTGATTGTCACACTCACATCATAAATCTCTCTCATCTAATACTTTCATCTATTAAATCTATAGAACCCCAACAGACATCCAAGAATATGTCATCAGTTTGGAGCCAAAATGGGGCCTGATTCATGGATGATCATTATCCATGTGCGGCAAGTCATAATTCGCCGACACCGGGCTTGGTGGAAATACCAACAATGGGTGTACAACTAAGTCTTGTACAAAGCAAACCCGTGGTCCCACCAAGAAATTCCTTCTAGTTTCTTGGAGAGTCTTTGGGGGAGGGAGATGTAAGATAATGACTTTTCCCATATGGGGCGATTGGTGGGAAAATACAGAGCATTACATAGGGCCTGTTGGTCATAAAACCGAGTGCTAATCCTGGTGAGAGACAGCACCTGTTATTGGGTGAACACCCGAATGGTGTCGATTTCCCAATGAAAGCCCTCTTCTATGCGTCTTCAATACGGAGCTAATAGTGGGGGCTGTTAGGGCTAAATAGGGCTTGTTTGGTGCAGATTTTTCTAAAAGCACCTTGAACTCAGATGGCGGCCATTTTGGATTTGCCAAATATAGCAGTCCCAGAGGGCGCCCTTCTTGGCGTCTGGCAGAAATCGTAATAGTATGGTATAAGCTACCTCTGGGCCAAATTTGGTGCTTTTAAAAGAATCTGCACCAAAATATCCCTAACAGCCTCCACTATAACGGGCTTCTGACTTTGAACAGACATATTTCTAAAGCATTTCTGAACTTTAAACAAGACAACCATGGGCACACACAAATATATTATATTCATTTACATTTATTTTTTTCAATATTGAAAATAAATTATCACATGGCAAGTTTAAAATGAATCAAAAGAAGATTTGCACAATGATCGAATCATATGAAGCAAGTAATAATAGAATAAAAGAAGTTTGACTTATGATTAACTACAGTACCAGATGAACATTTCTTTTAATGCTCATATGTGCAATGAGTAGAACACAACTGTGAACCTAAATAATGCCTGTTGCAAAGACCTAAAGTGCATCATATTTAAAGGTGGGATGTATATCATACATGCTTATGATAATGAACGTAATCCTAACCCTAAACCTAAACTTGATCCCTATCTTTCAGTAACACTTCTTGTCATACAAGACCATTGCTTGTCCGTTTTTACCATGTGCAACACTAAATGCATGTATACACCTTCTTGTTCCAATTCTATCTTTGATTAAAAAAATGATGCCCAGAGATATGTCGGTGGGAGCAGTGTCAGAGCACCATTTTGTACCTTCCATGGTTGCAATCTTTGCCTCATTATTGTTTTCATAATAACATCAAAACAAGTGGTATACAGTACAACCACAATATAACACATCTGTCAATAACAGTTCTTGTTACACAAAACCATTGCTGGTCCTTTTTTTTCTGTGTGCAACACTAAATGCATGTATATACCGGTACCCTTTTGTTCCAATTATACATTTTGACAAGATGGTCTACGCACAGATAATTCTGTGATTTCCCTAAACATTCAAACTGAATGATAGGGAAAAGTACTGAACTATAAAGCTTCTTTAACAAATCAAATAAAAAGCTTAACACCAGATAAAATTAACATGTTTTAAGCTGCATGATACTTGCCTTTATGCTACTTAAAAGGGGTGCACTTTACAATCTGTGAAACCAATAAGATACTTACGTTTTCTTTCTTTTAGCTGTAACACAAGACTAAGTATAAGTAGTCTAAAGCTTTCGGTATCCAGATTGGAACAAACATAACAATAGTCTATTAAGAGCCAGAAGGTAGTTAAAGGTCCACTGCACTACTTGTAGCTACTTGCGCCCTCTATATAACAAACCATGCCTAATCGGTGACCATTGGTCCCCCATGATCCTCTTTTTCTTATGTTAACTGAGAGCTGAGTTGATGAGATAACCACCTGTCCAGTGACCTTGCAGGGCAGTCTAATCCCTCCTGTAAACTATGGCAGATACGCTTTAAAGGGAAAATCCACCCTGATATTAAGTTGATATTAAGAGCAAAACAATGAGAGAAACAGATCAGTGAAAATTGGGAAAATTCTGATTTAAAAATAAGAAAGTAGTGAATTTTTGGAGATGCGATCAATCCACAAATTGGCCACACTGTGATGTACCTTGCAAGCTCCTCTCCAATTTGCTCTGTTTACATTTTATTCATTATTGATAAAAGAATATATTTTTTTCTATACAGGGGTTAACAAAAAATATATATGCAAAGGTTAAATTTAGGGTGCATTTATGATTGAAAATTTTCATGTGGGCAAACAACAAAATCAGATTTTGTTTAGTACAGAAAAATAGGAGAGGAGCTTGTAACCAGAATTCGCTCAAGCTTTCACTGACCTGTCTCTCTCATTGTTTCTGCTTTTACTTAAACCAGCTTAATAATATCAGGGTGACCTTATAAATATCCAAATCTCCAAATTTTATTTGCAGCATCTTGCAAAAGTTAAGCCTCAGATGTTGGGTCACTGAGTTATACAAAATAAAAGTAATAACAAAGAAAATTCCCATATTCAAAGCAACGCCAACCTGTCTGTTTGCTTAAATGCCCAAGGATAAATTGTTATTAATTTGAGGGTTGTGTAATTATTCAATGATGAAATCATGATTCCCCTGGTCTCTTTTTATTGCACTTTTATTCTGAATTTGTCTCAGGATGTCTCATGAAGCGCTTTTCTATGATCCCAATTACTCAATATCATAATCATAATCAGACGATCAGACAATCACCCATTGACAGTTTGTTCCCTCGTTAGTCATCATATAGTGTTGTTTTTTCAAACAGTTTTTACGCTTTCCTGTTAATGCACATGTCAGTACATGTTCATAAACTTGAAATTTCGAAAATGCATAGTTAAGATTAATTTGCGTACAAATTAGCTTACTTCTGCTTTAGACTGTAAAAGTCATACAGTGTGTCCTATCTACAAGTTCATGCATAATTTTACTGGTACATTTTTTGCAAAGTTTTGTAATGGAACAGCTCTTCCATATTTGTGTTTGCACCTCATATATCAGACAGTTTGGATATCAAGTAAACAAGTTTTAACTTGAGACTTTAGACAAGGTATTATTTGGTATCAACAATGTACTATACCAGCCTTGTTGCTAACTTTGGCTTTGAATATCTTCCTAAAGAATAATGGTCAGTGCATTTACTTCTTCCTGTTTCAGGAAGACAAGAAATTGTTATCTTAGTCCAATTTACAGAATTATATTCAGATTTAAATTGGAAGGGCTTACTTCAAATCATCAGGCCATTACATGGGTTGGGTAAAAACATGCCCCTTTACTCAATGTTTGTTGAATAAACCCCTCTCATCCACAAATGATACTGTCAAATTAACCTGAATCTTTGTGAAAACCCTACAGCAAATCTACAAAGGGTCATGCCCTTAATGTACATCTTCACATGATCTTCCTTTTTCGTTTCACAAAAGGTCATGTAACGCAACCACTCGACCAAAGTAAGCAAATTTGAAGCAAGGTGAGTTGATTTGCCTACACAAGAGGGGTACGAAGAAGATGCATTTAAAATGTTTTCATTTTTTCTGATACTCAGTGAGCAAGAGCATTCAGATTTTCCACACCTCATTACCATTGTCATAGAGTTGTTTCTTTGGAGCATTCTTGGAGGATATAAGTGGGTTTTTTGCTTCAGGTGTCGACTTTCCAGGAGAGAGCTTTTTTCGGCTCGCTGGTCACTCTGACATAGCGACATGTTACATATTCATAAAGGTGTTGAGGTGATGTTTGTGACACTTTAAACTACTGTGAGCAACCGTATCATGTTACAATAATATAGAGCGCCTGTATCTGCCAGGCTCTGACACTCATGGCCATTTACACATATTACCCTGGTTGTAGCCAAGCTGCCAATTGAAAGTAACTAGCCCTCAAGCATTTCAGGTACCCATTAACACCTGGGTGGAGAGTGGCAAATGTATATTAAATTCTTGCCAAAGGACATTAGTGCTGCGGCGGGACTTGAACCTCGTACCTTGTGATCTGCAGTCGGGTTACTTATCCACTAGACCACAACACCTCTATAACTAAAACTCTATGCTACTTTGAACAAGCACATCTTGTTTATGCTTCAGGGAAGCTCCCCATTGTCACATCTTAGCAGCATTGAACATAAATAGGTGCAAATACAGGCTGGCAGAGTCTGCAGGTGTTTGGTTCCAGAAGACTACATTCCAGAGAGGATTCATTGCTGTCATCTTTTCCTCTTCACCTTGGCATCTTCTTTAGCTTTGTATATCATGAGTTCCATACAACTCCTGGCATCCTCAGTACTGTCATGGCCACCAACTGTTAATGAGAGTACACCATTTTGAGAAGTGATATCAATCATCGGTTTGCGAAAGTTGAGCTTACCATAATAGTTGGTAGTATATTTTTTCATTCCTGTACTAAAAGGGTTTATTGATTAAAAGAATCAATAGTTAATTGTTAACCATGTAGTAGGTGGGTTGTTTGGACCAATGAAATAGAAATTACTGGTATTTTGAAAACTTGCCAAAAATATCATTCATTGAAAAGCACAACTGATATTTTGCATATAGTGTCACAATTAAAAAAAATGTTTTTGACAATAATAATTAATACACAATTTCATCCATCTTTTAATTTTTTTTGGATAAATTGCAGCTATGTAGTGTTGCACTTATTGGAGCATCATTTTTTTCAAAAACCACATGCACTTTCACCTGAGATAGGCCATTACATAAAATGTTGCAATACTAGAAATATTTCACCACTTGCATTTTCACCTGAAACAGGCCATTACATACATTGTTGAAATACTTCAAATATTTCATTACATCCTTGAAATCACTCAGCAATGGTATTAGTGCAAGTGATGCAGGCCAATGCATCTTCAACTACCATACCACATTAATTTACAATAAATTCCTTACCATCATCTTGGATGAGTCTGTTGAGATACTCGGCCATCAAGGTCTTTAGCGCCCTCTTTAGGGGAGGACCACGACGATGGGGAAAGACAATTGCAGTGTCAATCACAGTACTGTGTAGCAGCTGAAATTTAAAAAGAATCATGATTTACGGTTATTTACCTACTCAGCTATTTACAACACCACTAATACATGTACCTGTTTAATAACATTCATTTGAATACATATACTGTTTTATACACACAATAGCACAAAGTAATACAAATTAACTTAATGTAGGCTATATTAACATGTTACACAAAGCTTATACATGTACATGTACATTAAATTTAGAACTGGGCCATTCAAGAAATTATGCATACATGTACATGACTTCACACAGTGGCACCCCCTCCCCCCCCCCCCCCCCCCCCCCCCTCAATCTGATTTGCCATTCGCATTTGTGTACTTTTCCTGAATTCCTATTTGATTGTATGTTCATTCAAAATATTTTTAAACTAGCAACTATTCTGTATGATATTATTTAATCTCATTTATATGTGTGTCGTGCAAGGAGACTGACAGCTTATGGGCAACCAATGAGAGAAGGTGGTGCAACATAACTTGAATTTTTGTCTAAAAATATGAATAGAATATCCAAACAAACAATCTAAGAAACCCATGAAGTTATTGAAAACAACAACTAAGAATCATTTTTGTAAGTGTAATTGATATAATTTAGTCAGATTGCTTTGTTTGCTAGTTTACATTATGCAATTTCAATTGTATGCCTATGGGTATTTCCCTGTTTTTCCCTGTATTTCCCAGGTAATTCCTGGAAAATTGCCAACCCTGCCAAAGCATGCATAAATCAAGTGATAACAAAAGTTTGGACTCCAGTCGGTTGTCTTTCTTGCAAATCATCCTATCATTTTTGTAAGTGGAATTGATATAATTTAGTCAGATTGCTATGTTTGCTATTTTACATTATAAATTTCAATTGTACGCCTATGGGTGTTTTCCAGTATTCCCCATTTTTTTCCTGGAAAATTGCCAACCCTGCCAAAGCATGCATGAAACAAATGATCACAAAAGTTTGGACACCAGTCAGTTGTCTTTCTTGCATATCATCCTTCCTTACCTTCAGCGATAGAAAGTCGCTCTCCAAGCTGTGGCCTATGAGGATGGTCTGTGCAGAGAACATGTTGAGAAGCACTGCTTGGACATCTCGAAGCTTGGTGGTCACACGCTTTAGATCATTCTCTGTGATACCACTGAACCTATAGAAATAAGGTTCAATCAAAGTTATTCTGAACTAGTGAGGAAAACTTAAAGAGGTACACCATGTGTGTAGTCTGTTTAAGGACTGGTGTATTTTTTCTTGGAGAGATAGGTTTGTTCTAAAAAGAACTGTAAACAGATGTATAATTAATTGGAAAACCCAAGTCAACATAAGGACTACACACATTGAAATTCCTTCTCTCTCGTCTACCTCACCATGCAAACGTATTAAGAACATTTGAATTTGAATTTTCGTATAGAATACACAACTTTTATTAACACGCATTACTATCCTGGCGATTGAATTCAGTTAAATGTGTCCTTGCCGTGCACATTCTAACCTTTTTTACCTTTATTTAAATTCATCGATAACCTTTGACCCATGGCCTCGTTAATGTTTACCTCCTGTACATGCTAATGAGATCAATATGCATGTATGATGAAATGTTAATCAAATTACAAATCAAATGCATTAAACACTTACAGGTGCATACAATCACTTAACCATTTATTGCCAAATTCCTCGACCCCCTAGGTTTATTTGAAGGCAATAAATAACAGCCCCTGACATACAGCTCTTTTCAAAACCACATACATGTACATTAGCTTATTTTATGTGAGGCATGTCTTGAAGAAATGACAATACAATCATCTAATCTTTCTGCCGAAGAGAGCTAAGGTGACAACTTACCTTGTGTTGTGGTCGACAACTTCATTGTCAGGCTGGACCAGGGTGTCGTATACTTCATTTAGGTGATCATCGACCACCGTCACCCTAGTCAATTCAAGACCCATCGATGTGTAACACTATGACATGGAAAATAAAAAGGGGTAAATATTATTTAAACCGAGTTCTATGTATGATTCACAGAGAGTTTTTTTCACTGTAAAAATGCAATATGCTTGAAAAAAAATTCACAAAATTATACAGTTAACTATGAATAACTTGAAGTCGCACAAATCAAATTTTCCCCAAAGGCTCGTTTAGAAGTGACGCTGCAAAACCGTTTTTTTTTTCATGACATAAAGGGTAATACGATTCACATTATTGTATCTTATAACACAAGAGCTACACTGTATGTGAAATAAGCGCAAATCCTTTATCGCGCGCAGGTGCCATTCATCTACACATTCTTAAAAAACGTTGCGGCCTTTTTTACCATAGTTTACCTCTCCATAACTGAACAAGCCTTTATTCAATTCAATTTTTTGTTAACCAAACGATGCAAAAAATGAGATATTTACACTTCCTACGTCAAATGTCGCACAATGTGCGCTATACAAGTAGCCACTATTATTATAATTATTATTATTATTATAAGTCAGACTTCACATAATTTTGCAGTCCCCATAGATTCTACTTATGCAGAGTTAACTGTATGTGTGAATGTGTGATGCAGTTTTAATAGACTTGCATGGTGACACCATCATAAGGGTTGCAATAATTTTCCATGTAAAATTGTTTTAAATAAGGCTGTTGTTTTATATATTTGCGATTTTCCTTTTAAGGGGTAAGAAGGAATTGACTGAACCGATATATTCAGCTAACTGGAAAAGAAATTTCATGCCTGATTGCTAGACCTCTAGGAAACACGGGAATAATGGAGGATGTACGATTGAAGGAACAACTGAATGTGAAGCATATGGACCACCTGTTGCATTGCTTGCTAGGAGCCAGAAGGGCATTAAAGGTACTTGTCCCTTTTGCAGCCAACATCAACTTCTGTAGAACTTTGCAGGAATTATGAATATGTCATGAAGGTCCTATCTGAGAAATTTAAACGTTAGCAGTGTCCTTATATTCAAATTATGCAAGAGAACCCGTTTACTTGCTAGACTTCACTGTCAGACACTATTGAGTGACTGACTGGCTTTTTTTCTTCTTTGGTAATAATATACATAAAATGAGTTGTAAAGGGTACATGAGCATTTGTCTACATCAATAACCCACTTCTTGTAATGGCCAAAATTAAACTGAATGAATCTTTGCGGAGCATAAAACGTACGACATTCGGTTCTTGTAATGGCCAAAATTAAACTGATTGAATCTTTGCGCAGCATAAAACGTACAATATTCGGTACAATGGTCTGAAAATCAGACCATTACTTACTGGCTCTATAGCTCTTAAGTCGATTTGGCAACTAATAATCGTTATTTTCCCACTTAAAGACATTTTCAAGCCCCCTTTTTTTAAGGGAAGTTCTATAAGTATTATCTTTCAAATGCCATTGGAATTTAACCTTTTCATTTTTTGGGCCTGCAAATGGGACATTATAGTACCTTTAATGCATATCGTTTTGTACAGGCTAACAACCTTCTGGCTTTGGAGACCATTGTATGTTTCTAATGTAGGACAGGATGTGAGACATAAATCTCGTTTAATTTCCTGTTACTGCATGAGAAGGTTCACAACATGTCAAGTAATATGTAGGCAATGTACATATTACACATAAAGATAAAGACCAATTATGGTCATGCGATTGCATTGTGAAAGAAACGTTGTGGGGTCAATCAGAAAAGGTTGATCATCTAGCATAAGTATTGGTGTGTACTGCAAGGTTCTGGAATCATCAAAATGATAAGAAATTTGGCCCAGTCTTGGTAAAGTTACAAACACTGTACACAAAAAGATGTATATGGGACTACGCGACACATGCGCAACATCTATCAAGTCCAAATAGATATAACAATTTACAAAATATATCAATTAGTAGGCGGTTTCGCAGCAAAATTTGTATCATCACGTATTGGTCAAAACATATTCTTTCACATGATTGCTAATAAGAGCTTCCATTTCATTTTTTGAGAGGGGGGCGTTTCCAAAACTGATCTTTACCTTTAAAACAAAAAGTTCATGTGCAGGAAATTAAACATATAAATAAATCACTACCTCTATAGGAAACACCTGTTTAATTACCACAAGGTCTTCCATTGTAATATACTGAAGGTGATGCAGCGTTAGGAATTGTAATTAGGGGGGATCAAAGTCCTTAATTTTCTACATTTAAAAATATGATGGTAGAACTATCCCCTTAAATCTTTGTTCTTGAATGCCTGATTTTTGTGAATATTTTGATTCCTACCTGTATTCGTCTACAGTGCCTATACATTACTAATAGGCTAGAACCAAGGACAGCTACGTTCTCAAAACTGCGGCTTACTTGTTACTCCTAGGGTTAAAACAAAGTGGGGGGAGCGAACCTTCGCTCATGCTGGGCCTTCGTTATGGAATATTCTCCCTCAATGGATTAAGAATAGCACCTCTGCTGAAGTGTTAAAAAACAATCTTAAAAAATCTCTGTTTAATTTAGCTTATAATTGATTACCATTACCTTTCATGTCTTTACCTTTCCTATTGCACTTTGTATAAATGTATCATATAGGTATTTCATCTTTTGCACAAGCTGCGCCTTAAGCATTTGACTGTCAAGTGGATCATAAATATTATGTATTATTATTATTATTATTAAAGGGAATATTTTATAGGGCAATGGAGGGGGAGGGGGGCGGAGGATGGAATGGATCACACTTTTGAACCTTATTGAAAATCACAAATGTCTTATATAATACCACTATTGTCACTATAATCATCACTTCCACAATCTACATTATTGGGGAAGAGAGGGAAGTATCATACCAGAAATTCATTAGCTACAATTATTTTCTGTACACTTCACTTTAAAGGTACTATGTCCCATCTGCAGGCCAAAAAAAATGAAAAGGTTAAATTCCAACTGCATTTGAAAGATAATACTAATTTAGAACTTCCCTAAAAAAAGGGGGGGGGGGGCTTGAAAATGTCTTCAAGTGGGAAAATAACGACTATTAGTTGTCAAATCGACTTAGGAGCTATAGAGCCAGTAAGTCATCAGACCATTGTACCGAATGGCTGTATGTTTTATGCTCCGCAAAGATTCAATCAGTTTAATTTTGGCCATCACAAGAAGTGGGTTATTGATGTAGACAAATGCTCATGTACCTTTACAGCTCAGTTTATGTATGTTATCATCAAAGAAGAAAACAAGCCAGTCAGTCACTCAATAGTGTCTGAGACTGAAGGCTAGCAAGTTTACGGGTTTCCTTGCATAATTTAAATATTAGGACACTGCTAACGTTTAAATTTCACAGATAGGACATACATGACATATTCATAATTTCTGCAAAGTTCTACAGAAGTTGAGGTTGGCTGCAAACCGGTATGTCACCGGTAGTATCTTTAAAGAAAGGCCACATAGATGATCCAACAGGAGTCACAGGTTATAATGACTGGTCAATATAACAACAAAAAAACAAACAACAAAAAGAATTTAAAATATTTCATAAATGGGCAGAGCTAAGACAATGAAGGTGTCATGGTAGAGTAGTTCATTCCCTTGTCTCTCAATCCTCGGGTTGAGGGTTCCAATCCCAGCCTGGCACTAACACCCTATGGCAAGACAAATTATGAAGGTCTTGTGGTATAGTGGTTCATTCCCTTGACTCTCAATCCATGGGTTGAGGGTTCCAATCCCACCCTGGCACTAACATCCTTCATCAAGACATTAATCCATACATGCCACTCTCCACCAAGGTGTAAATGGGTACCTAGCAATCGCTGGGGTGATAATAATTATAGGGCCTGTAGGAAGAACAGCATTGATGCTGATGAGGCTTCCCCGGATAAGAACACAATTACGCTTATCATTTTTATTGTTATGCTCTACAAGGACCTACCATTTCACAATCTAGTGCGAACATGCCTGGGTGTCCATTCCTCTGAATGTCCTTGGGCATAGTCTTCATGTAGCCTGAGAGGTCACCATGCTTGTTGTCTGTCACATGGTACTGTAATGGTGATAGGGTTGAAAGAAGGGGGGGGGGGGAAGAATAAATGTAACTCTTTATAAGCTATACAAATAATCTTCTTGGGGAATTAACATTGTATTTATCATGGGATAGACATACCAGAGGCTTCAAAGATTTGATTTGATTTGATTTTATTTTATTTAATTTAATTTCCACTCAAATATCCACAAATTAAATGACATATATAATAAACCATACAGTAATACAATATATAATAGAATAAATTAATTATACAAGTGATGAAATACTGACAAGTATGTTCGTAATCAAATAAGTTTACAGAGTACATTTAAGTTTGAGAATAAGACAAAATATCCCAGTGCAAGATTAATCTATACTGGTGTTCAAAGGAGTATCATGTAGCTAATCAGGGGGTGGTTCACAAAGCCTAAATTCAATGACAAATGACAAAAATCAGTGACAAATCTGCTGATAACCAATCAGAAGCAAGGATTTCAGTAGCTTATAATAAAAACTGTCACTTGTCACTGATGACAAGTTTTGTGAAACACCCCCCAGGACCAGCATTCCTTCTGCCGAATGGTGCCTATTGTTTAGTGCAAATTTGCAAGTGTGGCAAACAAGTGATTGTGCAGAGAGACAACAAAAGCAATTGAAGTGTTTAATAAAGAAAGGGGGAATGTGCTTACTTTGCCTAACTATACATTCACCTTACAAATGACAATGAATCCATAAAATTGAGAAAAAAATATCTTTTCATAATGAAAGTTTACTGCAAGTCAAATCAAATGATAGTAGACCTGATGAGTGTATAAAGTTGTCAGCCCTACGATAGCTTGGATCAGATACAGTGTAATGATCACTTTGTTGATATTTATGTCCAACTAGTTGATTGTTTCTTTAGATTTGGTAATAGCTGGGGATGAAAAAAACTATCAAATATCTTGGATTTGCCCAAGATCATCTCATTAATAGGTAGGTACATGTTATCAAGCGTTTCAGTCTTTTTACTAGGATGATTAAATGCATACCTTTGAAATGCAGCATCCTTTGGTTTCCATGTCTCCGGTACAGCATGAGAATCGACTTTCAATCATCCCACAAACTAGACAGAAATATAAATAGTAGTGGGTAGAATCCTTTAACAATTGTATCATTATCAAACACCATTTCAAATCACAATGTATCAAACGATTAGCCCATCTTCGTCGTCATTGTCATTATCTTTGCTTGTCTCCAAAATCATCATCATCACCATCATCATAACAATCATCATCATCATCACAACCATCAACACCTTCGCTACCACCACCACCACCATTATCATCATCATCCCAAAAACAATATTTATTATCATCATCACCCATTCTACTATCCTCTAAATCATCACTACCATCAACACCATCATAGCCACCGGCATCACCATCCTCATAACAACCACCTTCATCAACATCACCTTAACAATTATCATCATCCTCATCATCATCCTCATCCTCATCATCATCATCATCATCATCATCATCTTCGCCCTGGACTTCGCTCATCTGGCCTTACTCTCCAGATGCCCATTACTCATGGAGACCGGGCATTTTCCTCTATTGCTCCTCGCCTGTGGAATTCCCTCCCATCATCTATTCGCGAAATTGACAACCTGGACCACTTCAAAGCTTCACTCAAAACTCACATCTTCCTTCAGACATTTAAATGCTAATTTTATTGGAGGACTCATGCCTTTGAATGTTTTTTTAAACAGATATATGACGCCATACAAATGCTGTTCATCATCATCATCATCATCATCATCATCATCATCATCATCATCATCACCATGATAACCACCACCACATCATCATCATCATCATCATCATTACCTTAAACATAATTACCGTCATCATCATCAACCATTTCACTATCCCCAACTTCGTCACTACCATTACCATCATCCTCACCATCATCTCCATCATCACCACTCCTCCTCCTACTCCTCATCATCATGATCACAATCATCACCAACAGTTACAAACATCATCATGACAGGTGTATTTGATCAGCCTCTGCACTTACTTCTGCGTGTCCATGGCCTGCCCCAGTGGTAGGTGCACGACTCCCTGGTGATGTACTTGCCTTGGGGATTCCTTAGGTACGTCGACCCACAACGACAGCAAACCTGCTGATTGGCTGAAAGTGAAATCAAATGACAGCAATTGATGTTTCTCCCTTCATGCATAAATCCGTAATGCAAACTAGTCTGTCTCCTACAAATTAAAATGGTAGAATTAAGACCTGCGACAAGAGTTTAAGTCATGTTCAACGAACAAAAAAGCTAGGACATTTTTCTACCTTCCTTTGTGAAAGTCAACTTTAGACCATGCTTAAACCCAGTGTATAGTTTGAATTTGAGTGGAAATAGACGATTCAGTTTAACAAAGAGTACACCATTGATGAGCTTAGAACTTTATTAAAACTGACAAAACATACCAATGGACTACTTAGACTTCCATCATGATGTGCAAGGATTGTTTCTTCATAACTTACATCATCAAGAACAAGAGAGAAATAGTGTCAGAAAGAGTGTAAATATCAAGGAAATATGGAAATGTCTGAAGACTACATACATGAAGAGAGAGAGAGGAAAAGAGAGACACTGAGACATGGACAGCTGGGGAAAGTGAAAGAGAGAGAAAGAGAGAAAGAGAGAGGGGCGACGGACAGCTGGGGAAAGAGAGAAAGAGAGAGAGAGCGAGAGAGATAGAGACAGAAACAGAGACAGCTGGGGAAAGTGAGAGAAAGAGAGAGAGAGAGAGAGAGAGAAGGGAGAAACTTACGATCACTACTGGCATATGTCTTGTTCCTTTCTTCCTTGAAGACGAGAGCTTGACCTGAGGTCTCCGAGGGTCTAGGGTAACCGTTCTCTCTCAGCAGCTCTTCTGTGAGGGCGTAGCGCTGCAGCTTCTCATACAAGTGAATCCCTGTGAAGGACACAAGATAAGGAATGGAAATTGTGTATTTTGCTCTCTCCTTCTTAAAGGGATAATTGAGTTCTGTTGCAGAGGGTGCTACACGAAATAATTTGTTGTGAGATAATGAAAAACTGAGAGTCAACTTTGAAAGAACATAATATTTAAATGACAAGATCATCTTTGTTTCATCAAAATCGGTTCAGAGACGGCTGAAATATAACGATTTCTAATACTTGTGTACCACCACAAATATTAGATATTTTGAAAAATTGGAAAAAAATGAAATAACGTCTTTTACGTCGTATTTCAGCCAATGCCGATATTGGCTTTTTGTTGGCATTTTTGTGTTGCTTAAAGTACCCACAATTAGCCGGCTCATGTATTGTTATTTCTAGTTAAATAATTAATTAACGGTCACCGTGTTTTTTTGAAGGTGGAGTTGAATTGGTATGATCGTATTGGCTAAATTTCACACATTTTTGGGGTCTAAAAATTACCTTCATAGCAATTTTAGGTTCTAAAAGGGCACTATAAATGTCATAGATAAAAATAAGAGCAATAACCATGCACTTTGAAGGCATTTGCGGTCTGAAAACAGAACTCAACTATCCCTTTAAAGAAGGTATAGGCCTACAGCCAACTCCATCCGAAACAAAGGTTCCTGTAACGATTTTGAATGCAATGGCTCTTGGGTAGCCTAGGGAAATGTAATGGCACAAAGAGACGCATCCGCAATGCAAAAATACCCAAACAGTGAATGAAACTTTGGAAATAGATGTATGAAAATGAAATTTATTGTTAACTTTAGAGAGAAGGTTGAGTTATCATTCTTATTATGCAAGTGTGGAAGAACATCAGATAAGACATGTTCCCTGAAAAGCATGGCTCTTCAAATGCCTTCATATTCTAAATATGTCATGTAACATCGTAAAAATCCAGGGTAGGATTTTTACGCCACGTGTTCGTGTAGTCCCATATACATCTTTCTGTGTACAGTGTTTGTAACTTTACCAAGACTTGGCCAAATTTCTTATCATTTTGATGATTCCAGAACCTTGCAATACACACAAATTCTTATATGCTAGATGATCAACCTTTTCTGGTCGATTCCACACCGTTTCTTTCACAATGCAATCACATGACTAGAACTCAACTTCATCTTTAAGTCCAATCAAGGTACTAGAGATATGTTATAGTCCCATGTCCTAGCAGTACAGTTCTCTCACAAAGCCATTAGTATATATTAATCAACAATTATGCATTTTGCATACCGGATGCGTCTCTGTGCCACTATTTTTGGCTAAGCTACCATACAGGGATAGCTGACTATTACAATAATAGGAACGTTTATGTAATCTGTGCACCATGCCTGGAGTGCATTGAATTAACTTATTCTGAAGACACCACTATCCCCATTAGCCATCAACCTAGGAGTTCATTATATGGGTGGTAACTGTAGAATTGGCAATTATTTTAGAAGGGTAAATGTGTGAGGGGCGATTGTAAAAAAAGAAAAAGGAGCTATAAGAGTGGTAACTATACTGCATGGGTGGACTCTGTTGGAGGCGGATCTTCTGGAGTCCCATATGTGGATCTTCCATGTTCAGCAATTTCCCTCAATCCAATCCAGGTATTTTAGACTTTTTATAAATTCCACATCAAGAACATGAAATCTCCTTGATAATAGAAAATATGAATGATTTGAATCAAAATTTATGCCTTATAAAATAACTTTTATAAAATATTTTCATAGATGCTAATGGCTCTCCATAATGTTGAAGTCCAACTTAGAGATAAGTTCAACTTAGGATCTTTGTGAAACACCCCCAGGGTATACACAAGAGAAAGCACACCAGAGGGGTGTTTCATAAAGCTGTTTGTAAAGTTACGCATGACTTTATGAACGATTTGTATATGAAGTGCCAGATAGGATGCCCAAAGTTTTCTTGACATTTCCAATAACGTCAATTAAATTATGGCAAAAAATATACTTTGTATTAAAAATGTTTTTTATAGTAAGAATGTTAATCTACATCTGCACAGTTCAACTTTAGTTGATGCAGTCAATAACAATTGAGCATCCCATTTGGCTTTTCATATACAAGTCGTTCGTAAAGTCATGCGTAACTTTACAAACAGCTTTATGAAACACCCCCCTGAGTAAATGATAGAAAGAACCCACCTTCAAAGCTCTCGGTGTCAAGGTTGGAGTGCTTGTGGATGCTGTAGGAGGTCTGTGCAGCCAGCTTGCCACCTAGAACAGCCTCGTGGGACACCACCCTTGATGGGAAGAGTGAGGATGGAGTGGATGGAGGGATCTGTAGTCTGCTGTCCGTTTGGTTCTTGAGCTTCTTCAGGGCGTTGACACACAGGTTCAGGTAGATGTTCTTGCTGGAGGCCCTCTGATACACCAGCTTCTCTTCGTCCAGGGCCTACAGGACAAACATGGAGAGAGGGATTTTAAAGGAAATACAAAGTTTTGGTATGGGGTCATGAATTCGGTTCAAATGAACATATTGGGAGCATATGCGATCCTACAATATTCAATAACCGTTGTAGCGGCTGGAATCGAGTCTAAAGTGATGAAACTGTAAATAATAAACTCTTTATGTTTATAGCTCCCTCTCAAGAATGATTTTCCTTTAGCTTTAAAACAATGTTTCTCGACTATAATCGATTGATTTGCTATTCCCGTTTAGAAATTATATATCAAAACTACATGTTCTAAGATTCTCATAGTCGCAGCTACTATGGAATGGCCTTAAGTGCTATTTGAATATTTGAAATTTACCAGGAGCACCATTAAATTTTTGATTATTCAATTTCTTGAAAGCATAAGTGTTTTAGAGGCTAAATTTTATGGTGCTTATAATACATCCACAGGGGGCATCCAAATATATATAAACTTTAAAGAATTACTATCAGGGCTCAATTAATTTTTTGTCCACGGGGGCTCTTCCAAAAACAAAAGAGCCCCCGTGAGCCTTCTAACAGGGGCTCTTTTAGTGGTGACCGGGGCTCTTATTTTAATACAAATTTCCATTGAATTGGTACCTGTGATATTGCTAAATTCCTTGGTATTTTATCATTATCATTTATTTAAGTCGGCATTTGCCCTCTTAGAAATTTACTTGTTACATAGCTGTTATTGAATTTTATCCCTGTGATGACATTCTCTCCATTTCTTCCCGTTCTGCACATAATGTCCTCCTTATTATTCGGAGCAACCTTATTTACATTCTTTATTTATTTTTAGTCTTTACCATATCCTTACAAAACACAGGGGCGGATCTAGCTTTTTGCTAAGGGTGGGGGCGGGTAACCCAAATACGATGTGGAGCATCGCCCATGAGCCGTATAGCGGCGAGGCGATTTTTGTTGTTGCTATTTTGAACCCCCATAAGTGATGTTTCCTGGCATCTACTAACATGTGGAGTATCATCCACGAGCCGCGAAGCGGCGAGGCGATTTTTTTTTTTGGTGCTATTTTGAACCCCCGTTAGTGATGTTTTCCTGGCATCTACTGACATCTACTAATACTGTGTAGGTCATGATAGCATTTTCTATGCACATCACATTATCACTTCGCAGCCCAAGGGGGAGGGGGGGGGGTTATAAACCCCCTAAACCGCCTAGATCCGTTCCTGCAACATCTTTGGTGATCTTCTTCTCAATATTGATTCACTGGTCGAGTTACATTATTTGCTGGTCTTTTAGAATAACCAGATTTCAGAGGATTCACACTTTTCACAACGAAACAATGTTTCAGTCCTTGCGCGATCATCTTCAGCTCCAGCAGATATTGGGCGTCAGCGTGCACACAGGTACTACCGGCGCAGTATAGCCACTGCTGACGGCCGCACTAGCTGCACTGCGAGCTTCCGTTGTTTGTATCGGTAATACTCTTAGAGATGGGAGAGATTAGCGCCATCTAAGTTCCATTTCATTGGTTTAAGGTTTGAAAATTGATACTCAATATTGTGTTAAAGTTATATCAGCAAAGATAATCTTCTATATAAGTAATACGCTAAGGCTCCGCGGGGGGCGCGACGTCTCGGCGAGCCTTTGTATTCTATTGTTTTTTAATGAGATCGCCGACCGAAGTTGGTGCGGCTATCTCCTCCTGAACCCTCCCCTCGGGGTACCCGTGCCCGGTGCCATCGTCCGCGGAAGAGTCTACTCTGTGGAATTGGCTATACTCCGCCCGAGGTCCTCCTCCGTGTCGACGTCCAGGGCGAAAACAGACGCGACATGCATAACGCAGGATATGCGTGACGACAGAGATACCTCATGGATATTCAACATGACATCCGTAGACACACGACCGATGACTATCCACTTACATTAAGTTGCGTATTAAATGCACGATTCACAGGGTCGGGATTACCCGAGTAAAGCATCTTTCTATAGGATATCCTTTGTAGTAGCTGCACAAGCAACAGAGATACACACGAAGCTTCCCGTCCACGTCTAAACTTAGAGACCTATTTCCATCATTATTGCCGCGATTTTTATATAGTTTTCGTGAATGGAGGTATGAAATCAAAGCTTATTTTGTGATTATGACGGTTAATGTATACTACATTTTGATTATCATTTTTAAAGGAAAGTTTTCACAAGAAAACCATTGGACTGACAGTTCTGTCGCAAGCTGCCTTCAGTCCTCACACATACAGAACACACAGTGCAGTGTAACACCGGCACCACGCACCGCAGGCGTCCGAGGCCTGCGGCGTCGGTGTTCGAGCTGTCTGGAGTTACGCTGGAGTGTGTGTGAGTTCAGCTGAGCTGAGCTCGAGTCGAAGAGATTTGACACTTTGAAATTGTTATCTGTTGGTTTGTATCATTATTGCCGCGATTTCAATATAGTTTCGTGAATAGATTTACGAAACCTGAGCTTAGAATTAGTAAAAGTATTACTAATGTCTACGTTTTTAAACGACTGTCTGATTTTCTTGTGAAAATTTTACTTTGAAAAATGATTATCGAAATTCATGGTCAGAAATAATCACAATCTAGGGTCTATTAATTATGTTACAGTTCTTGCATCAAATCAATGCATGAAAACTTAGTTATTGAACTAGAAAAATGTTGTTTTTTTTAAATAGGCAATTAGACCTAGGTCTATGAAGTATTAAGCCTGAAACCTTCGCCTACTAAACAAATCTCAACAAAGTGTAGGCCTATCCTTTTATGAATTAATGAAAAAGTAGCCCCAGAAAAAAGAGCCCCCGAAAGTTGAAAAAGTAGCCCCCGAAAATTTCCCAAAAATTTGAAATGGAGCCCCCGAAATGAAAAAACTAAATTTTTTGCCTGCGCCCCCCCCCCCTCTAGAATCCCGCGGGTTCTGAGTTGAGTGTATATATAATATAGATCTAGGCGTGGGGTCCACGGGTTTCAAGGGGGCATAAACCCCCAAAAGCTCGGGGGTTACGTTTTTCAAAGTTGGGGGGGGGGGAGAGATCAGATCACGGCGAGTTGAGTGTATATACAATATAGGCGTGGGGTCCACAGGTTTCAAGGGGCCATAAACCCCCGAAAGCTTGGGGGGTTTAGGCGTTTAATTATGGTCAGATGAGCATAGTTTTAATACTTTATTTGTGACACTTGCGGGTCACTAATTGGCGTGGGGTCAATACGTAGAGTTGCGTAGTGTTGCGTACCAACTACGCTGGCCTACGTTACTATATGCTGAGGGACGGAAAGAGGTAGGCAAGATGAACGAAAACAATTCAACATGTTTAATTTTTTTCGCGTAGTTTCGGCGTAGGAACTTGACGCTGAAAGTACGCCTTTTTACGCAACACTACGCTACTTGACTACGCAACAGTACGCTTCCCTACGCCAGATCGTCAAAGCAGTAAAAGCTTTCTACACAGTAAGCAACCATAAGCAAACCTGTACGCCAGCCTACGCATAACCTACGCAGGGACTATTTTCCCATTAATACGCAGCCTAATTTCTGCGTAGTCGGTACGCCACACTACGGAACTCTACGCAGTTCCAGTGGCTTATAGAATAACTACAGGTACAGTTGGATCGTTTTTTTTTTTTATATAAGGCCAAATTAAAAAAAAAACATGTTTAGCGTCCTGTTTTTTCGAAAAATGGGAAGGAGGAGGCCCTTTTTTTTTTTTTTTTTCTTTCAAAATGTCCGCTCCGTACATTTTCCCTGACACTCTGGCTATTTTTCAAGATGGCGGCCGACAATTTTTTTTTTCTTTTTTAAAATCAGAAATACATTTTAGCAGTGCTTTTCATGTTTTTTTTCTTTCAAAAAATAAAAAAATAAAAATGAAAAATAAATAAAAAAATAAATAAAAATAGGAGGCGGCCCCCAAAAAGGAAGCAGGCGGGGACGCTGTTTTTTTTTCTTGCAAAAAAAAAAAAAAAAAAAAAAAAAATATTAAACAATTCCAAAAATATTTTAAAAAATTTTTAAAAAAATTTAAAAAATGAAAAAAAAATAAAAAAAATAGGAGGCGGCCCCCAAAAAGGAAGCAGGCGGGGACGTTGTTTTTTTTTCTTTCAAAAAAAAAAAAAAAAAATTCAAAAAAATTCAAAAAAAAAAAAAAAAAAAAAAAAAGGAGGCGGCCCCAAAAAGGAAGCGGGCGGGGACGCTAAACATGTATATTTTTATAATGGCCTGAATGGCAAATAAAGTTCTTGGTGGTTTTAATTTAGGCAGTCTCTATATATCTATTTACACCCCCGCCCCCCTCTAGAATCCCGCGGATTTCCGCGGGTCCTGCTAGTTATTTTATAATTCCACGGGGGCGATTTTTAATTTTGCAATCGCCCCCGTGAGCAACCTGACAGGGACGATTATGGGGCTCACGGGGGCGAATCGCCCACCGCCCCCGTGTATTTTGAGCACTGATTACTATCCATCCATTTTTCAAAATTTCCCAAACCTTTGCATTACTTTTAAATAGGAGTCATTGTCTGGCAGAGATTTCACCTGATCTAAAGATCAGATAGTCCAGGTAAAAGTCTTAGCCACAGCTTACAGGTTAAGCAAGTTGGCAAGATACTAATCTGCATCTAACACACTTATTCTGGAGAAATGGGAGCCATGTTGTATGCTTAGAGCTATTATGATATACATGTAGTTTGCTGTACAAACCCTGCTGTGCCAAGCGCTTTTAAATGAATAGTTATCAGAACTGAACTTTTGAGGGCTAAATGTAAAGGCTGGGTGTTTATTCTTTTCAAGTTTGCCCATTGGGGTGACCATGTGGTCACTGGCAGGTTGTGGAGATGATATGCACATTCTGTTTGTTTATGAACCTGAATAAAGTTGTAAAGCTCTTAAAGGGACCTGGTAACATTGTTAAGATGAAAGATAGTGGTGCTAAGGTAGTAACTTTAATGCTAGATGTACAATTAAAGATAATCTGAAAATTTGAGTGAAAACGGATCATTATTCATGGTACAAATTGGGAAAAACTGATCTGATTGATTCCTTACCTGTAATTCTCCCAACTATATTATTACTAAAATATATTATTATTAAAATTTAATCACATTTTAGGTGAATGGAGATCGTCACAAAGCAATAAAATGGCTCTACATTCCATTCCAGACATTTAAGTGTTGACAAATTTTTTATAGCCCATTTTATCTCTTTTTTTCATGGAAAAACGGTTGGGAATATTCAAAAATGGTTGGGAGAATTTACTGTTAATTACTGTTAGAGGGTGCAGGGAGGTCTAATCCCCCTGGCCAAACTAGTGCAGACAGGCTTTAACTGAACTTTCAATCAAAGTCTTGAGGGCTAGATAACATCCATGAGAACCTACCTTATCAAAGGCATCTTGGTCTTCTTCTGTCGTCTTGAGCAGCTCATCAATGAAGACATTGAGGTATCGTTGCCTGATGTTCATTGGAACCTTGCTGCCATAGTCTGTGGGAATCATGGGTCTCTTAGACACCTACAGAAGGAGGGGTGATTGAACAAGAGGTATTGTATCAATTCTTAGTTCTTACCAATTCACTTATAATTTCATTGAAAAGTGAGCATCCTGTTACATTGACTCCAGGGCCCCATTTAAAAACTTGTCATCAGTGACAAATGACAGTTTTTGTTATAAGATACTGAAATCCCTGCTTCTAATTGGTTATCAATAAATTTGTCACTGATTTTTGTCATTTGTCATTGATAAAAGCTTTATGAAACGGGTCCCAGGAATCATGTATTCTTTGATGCGATTAAAAATTAATGCAAAATAACTTACATAATTACATGGTCAATACAAATACACTGTATATGCACTTCTTATCTTTGAGTGATAATTCAACAATTGTTCAATTGGTCCACACTTAAATCCATAAAAGATATAGAGTAGAACAAGGTTACATTTTCAAAAAAACGAGTGTAACAAAAAGGATAATAAACGTATCAATTCCCATTTCCAACCTGGAAATCAATTACCGGTAAGGCCTTCAAAACTACCCCTGGGATGTTGCAAAATCATGCAAACAACATGACCAAGGATAAAGAAATCCCTGCCAAGAAGCTTTTATGGAGCAATACACGTTCAGAAGAGACAGGAATAATTCTATCGGGATAGAGGATAGACCTGTAGAGACTTACCGTCTTGGGCATGTGCGCCGTTCTCTTGCCCATCTTAGAGGTCATGACAGTGGTGGTCTTCTTCTCAGAGGAGGATTCCCCCAGTGTCAGTTGCCTGAGAGTGTTGTTGGTAGTGCCTGTAATAAGGTTCAAAGTGAATATGGAATTACGAGTTATCAATGAGTCACAGGAGATCGACCCAGAGGCCGTCCACCCAAAAGATGGCTTGACTGCATCTCAAGAGGACTGCAAATCAAGATCCATAAACAGGCTGACAGATGCTCCAAGACTGCCATCACCATACAGAAGCCATCACGAGGCCCCTGCCTACATGGACAGCATAAGTTAAGTAAGTCAATTATTGAATACAAGAACTAGGAGATTCCACAATGCACACTAGGCCTGAAAATCTATAGCGTCCACTCCAGGGAAACACAAAAAGTGACCTTTGTAGACAGGTGGTCTTAGTAGACAGGTTCCCTCAGTACATGAATCAATGAGAAACCATTTTCAAGGGAAACAACATATGCGGCCTTTGTAGACAGGTGGTCTTTGTAGACAGGTAGTCACTAAATCAGGTTCGACTGTGATTGAGCTCCAAGAAGATAGGAATCATTTCATCGTTCCTCCTGAAAAAAATTGAATATGTAGGCTGCTCATACCAAAAACCATTTGACATGCAGAGAAGTCAATATAATCAAGGGTACATAATTTAGGGTTTAATCTCTTTTGTGTGAGCCCTGGAAAAAGATGTAGATGTTTTAAAAAGATCAAGTGAAAAAGAGATGATGAAGAAAATGGAAATAAGAGAAAAGAGGGGATTTGAGAGAGGGGTGTAGGGAGATGAAAGAGAGGGGAAAGAGGACAGAGCAAGTGAAAAAGAGAGAGTGATAGAGAGAAAAAGAGAGTAGGAGGGAGGAGAGAGGGAAAAAGAAAAGAGCAATCAAACACAAAGTTGTCACAAACCTGATTGGTGCGCTATCCTCTTCTTCCCTGTGATCGAAGCACCAGATGAGGTCTCCCCCGATTCCCCCTCCTGGGACGCCCTCTCTAGTCGACGCTCCATCATGAGATAGCGATTGTGGCACATCTGGGCTGGGCCGGGTCGAGAGTTGGCGGGCTTCTTTGGGGTTGGCTTTCGTTTAACATCCTACGGAAAGAAACACAAGATAGTCCAATCTAATTTTGGAATTTCTAAAACTTTAATGTCGAGTTGCCAAATTAAAATTCTCTGGTGAGACTGAAAAAATAATGCACATGCTGTCTTTGATTCATTATGGAAAGACTGGAGTAGTGGTCATTTGAATGCAATTTTAAAAGGAAGGTCTTTAGCTGTCATAAACAAAGATCAGGAGAGGAAAAGAAGGAGAAATAAAGAGGAATTGTATACCGGTACATTACAATTTAGCATGTACAGTAGATAAGCAGGATGCTTCATAAACTGCCAAAATGATAAAACCCCAGAAAATGACATGCCTATCAAAAAAAGTTCTTTGGAATATTAACCCAATACATACATGTAATTTGTAGTATTAACCTACTACATATACATGTACTAAGCCCGACATGACTGACTGGATATTGCATGTACATGTACATGTGTACACTGAAACCACTACTTGCTACTCTCCACCCAGGTGTTAAATGGGTACCCGGTAGGATGCGACCGTCATTGTTGGTCAAACAGTTTTTGAGCGTCGAGTAAACGCCTGGCTGGAATGCTCCCCAGGGAGTGGAGATTGTGCACACAGTGTGTGCGGGCAAGCACTGAATCCAAGGACCGGGGTAATATTATATTTGTAAAGCGCTAAGAGACAATTGTATTAAGCGCTATATAAAAGCTAAATATTATTATTATTATATAATTATTATCATCTCCATCATGTTAAAGAGCCTATACATCTCACAAAAAACTTACTCCAAACTTTGAAGCATGAGCCATCCGCTGTTTGCCAACAGATGATGGAGCTGAATTTGAACCTTTCCTCTCTTCTACTGGCCGTTTCTGAAACTAAGAAGCGAACAAACATAAAAAGAATGTCTAAGAATATGTATTCTCATCACATTCTCACACACGGATATTTTTACTTATTTTCCTTATATATCTTATTTATTTACTCCTCGACCGTTGTTTATTCATGTATTTTTACCCATTATCATATCAGGCCTTTATTTTCTTATCTCAATTTAGCTTTTTTTCAATTCTTCCCAATGTCTTTATTATAATAGAGGTACCTGTACATGAATTATTTTTTTTTTTTTAATGGTGCAATGTGCCAGTATGATCAAAATATCACATTTTCTTCTTGAGCTATTTTCTATCATTAATTTTCCTAATAAGATACCTTACAGTAGTTTCCTGAGATTCATGACTAGTTATGTAACATGGATTCAAAGAATACAAGAAAATCTTACCGTCGTTACTTGACTGCTTGGCTTCGATGCCTTTGGCTGTACTTCCTGGAAAATGCGATAACACTCATTAGATATGTCCTCTTCTGAAGAACTGTCCTCCATAAACCTTCTCATCTCCGCCATGTGTTCACTTTCATCTTCTCGTTCATCGCCATGGTTACCAATGTCATTACTGGTTCCTCCCATATCATGACCACCATCATCATCATCATCACTTGATGCAAAACCATTGGGCAGATCTGAACTGTCTTCATCATCAGAGATAGAAACGACTTCTGCTTTCGCACGTGACAGATTTTTAACTGGTTTATGTTTTCTACTCTCATGGGAAATGTCTCTCGTTGCGTGACTTGTCCTGACTTTCCCTTGCTCCTGAATGTGGTCTTTCTTCTTGGGCAGGGTGCCTTTGGAAGACTGCTTTTGACCCTGTCCACTGGCTGGAGTATTTTGTGTTACAGAATTCACTAGTTTCTTGGAAGGACCAACCTTAGAAGACTTGACCTTGCTGGTGTTAGGAAGGAAATTCCCAATTGATGATGTCCCCGATACCTCTGCTGAATTGGAGCAAGCTACTTTCCTCTGCCGATCAGACGTTGAAGAACAGCCTTCTGTCTTGATGCTGGAAACATCTGCAGATTTCTTGGGAAATTTATTTGGAGATTCATGTCTATCCTCCGATATTGATAGAAAGTTTATTTCATCTGAATCACCATCACTATCATCCCCAAACAAATCCATGTCAATGAGTTTGGTGCTTTCTTTCTTCAATGGCGAGGTAGAGAGTTTCCTCAATCGCTTTGGATCATTTGTTTTGGAAGGGGATGCAGTTCTTTTTTTCTTCACACCATTCTCACTTTCGTTAGCTTGCCTGTTCTTATCAGATGATACTGATCTTTTTCTTGGTACAGCACTAATGACAGAATGTTTTGATTTAGATGATGCTTTTGATCTTGCACCATCACCTTCATCAGAACTTGAGTCATTGGATATCGCAAATATATCAATGTCACATTCTTTGATGGATGACTTCTTTGGCAAAACTTTGGCTGATGGTTTTCCAAGTGACTGGAACAGACTACGATCACTCAAAGGTGTCTTTGGAGTTTCTTGTTTTCCTTGTTGCTTTTCTTTGATATTGGAATCTTTCCTGTGACTACTTGTTCCCTTTGAAACATTTTTCAAAGAATTACTTTCTTCTGTCCTTTTCATACCTTCACTCTTTACTTGGGCGATTCCTGTAAGGTCTTTCATTTTTCTCTTACCCTGCGACTTCATTCCTGTGGATTCTTGACGTTTTTTGAAAAAGTTTGCCAATTGCTCAGCTGAAACCTTTGGTTTTGATTTTTCAATGACTTTGTCCTTACCAGAAATGACATTTCCCTTGGTCGCACTCTTTGCTAATTGAATCTTATTATCTATCTTTTCCTTCTTGCTCTCTTTCTTAGCATTATCATCTTTTTCCTGCATGTTCACTTCACTCTTACTTTTAAGAAGTTTCTTGTTGTTTGACACCATTTTTTTAGGATCAGTTTCCTCTTGACATGGCTTTGGTTTGGAAGTCATCTTAACTGATGTCCCTAAAGCAGTGGTTGTTTTTCCTTTGGACGGGTTCACTGATTTACTAGATGGAGCTGTTACTTCTTTCTTTTTACTCGACACAACTTTCTTTTCAGCATTGAGTTTTGTCTTGGTACTTCTACTTTCCTCAAGGCCTTTTTTACTTTTGCTTTCAGACAGCTGCTTATCAACATTAATCTTTTTCTCTGATTTTTTTTTCAACTCCAACTTAGCTGTTTCTTTTTCATGATATTGCTCAAGGCTATCCATATCGTAGCCTCCATCAAGGTCATCATGACAATCTGTTTCCTCAACAATACTTCCTGCTGTTGAATAGGCTGGGAGTGCAACTCCTACATTACTGTCTAAAGTAGCATAGCTGTAAGGATGGTACTCCAAATCTGTTGTAGGTACATCATCCATGTAAGAATACGAGGAAGTATTGGAATATCCCTTGAAGTCCTTTCCGTTGCTGTCACCATCATCCATCAAGACATCTGATATTCCGTAAGTAGGGTATTCATCACCTTTTGAAAGGGGCTCAAAGTTTGCATCAGGTTGAATCCTTCTCAAGGATTCTTTGTCTCCAGGAGATGTCAGTGATGTCTTATTATGTCTTTCATCACTCTTTTCACTTGGTTCCAAGACAGAACTAAATGGGTTGTACTCATCTTCTTCCTCCATAGATGCTTGGTCAGGTCTACATAAACTCCTGGGAGTTCTTGTTGTCACGGTAACTCCTCCATAAGTATGTGTCTCAATGATCATGTCCTCCCTTTCTCCATCTGAAACAGCTGGCTGTTCAGCCCTTGGATCCTTTTCATCGATGGACAATGGCACTATTTCTTGGTAATCATCGGAACTGGCCTTTACTGACTGACCCTCAGGGAAATCTCCTGCATGAGCATCCATCAATGACATATCATCTCCTGGAACAGTGTCATCATTCACGTCTGCCAAAGCCTCCAGGTCTGCCAATGGGGTTGGCGTGTAAGACGATAACCCGGCACCTGAAGCAGGTCCAGCATCTTTGATGCACTCCTCTTCTTCCTCTGTTGATTCCTCCGTGAAGGCATCTTTAGTAGGCTTCTTGCAGAGGAACAGCGGAGTAGGGACATACTGGATAGGTTTGGTGGCTGGAGTCCTGTCCTTAGGCCTACGATGGGAAGGTAAGCTACTACTCTCAATAGCAGGTCTGGTTTTAGCCGCCTTCTGTTCTCCAGGAAACTTTGGCTCAGTTGCAGCTTCTACGTTTGGGACTGGAATACAAATACATGTAAAGAAGAAAAAATACATATAATGTTCTGGTCATAAAGATTAGAGACATACATGTACCCACACGCACATTTAAAGCGTCCGGACATGTTGGTTATCCAGACAATATATTTCAAAGAGTTAATACAAGCAATTTTGTCATAAATGTTTTTAAGACCTCCATGCATGTTGGACAATACTATTATAAAGATTAAAAATTTATTGCAGTAACTTGAGTAAGTGCTATTTGATACTTTATCTTTTTTAAGCATCCTGGTGCACCGAGCATGCACCATATTCTATATACATGTAACAACAAATAACCCTGATAACAAAGTCAGGCGTTCACCGACGAAGAAAAATAGGTACCGCAACACCAACACCCATGATAGAACATGTACACTGTAGACCCTATAGTATACAGACAAAATAATGTTCACACGCTAAATACATGTATACTGAAACAATTCTTTCAATCATTCTCACAGGAATGAAGTCTAGCATTAATACATGAAGATAATCTAGCTATGCCTTTCAAAAATAAAAAATCTGCACTGGACATCCATTCGACTTTGTAAATTGTTTTATCCTCTAGCTACTACTAGACCCTAGTCTACAGTGTCTACTCTAATATTACAAAACATTTAACTTACCTCTGCGAATGTGTCGGAAGTGGCAATATGGCCTTTTGCATCTTCCTTTGTTTTCATCATTCTCTGGGCAGAGGACTCCCCGAAAAAGGCCCGCAGTAGGAAACATTTTGAATGAAGAATCTCCTCGTTCAGTCTTTTTCGACCGGACAATCGACAGTCTGCTAGCTGGCTTGATTTTTTGTTGGTCGCACTGCACTGGTCACTATGTAAAGTACATGTAGAAACTAGAATATTGGGGGAAAGGTTTTCATTTGAACAGGGCCAGGGCCAGGCCCGGAACACTCCACGCAAGCGCAAGCGCAAGCGCAAGCGTCCAGCGGGCTACTTCCTGCTCCGACAGCCGGAGATCCTCCGTCCAGTAGACGTGGCCTACGATCCCCTCGGTAAGAAGCCACCACCGGTCGCGGTCCGGGGGAGACAATTCGGAGGAGCGGGATGGGCTACCTTTCAACAGATTCACAGGTCATTCAACATCATCCCTCTAAAACGTAAGCTACGCACGAAGTCTCGGCAGTCATTTATGTCGTAAAATACAATTGAACCACTTCAATTGAGCCAAATTAACCATTACGACTCTGTTTTACAAACACTCAGGACAAAGCAGTGCATTGCAGCCGATTACGCCATTGGCCTTTAATGTCTAAATTATCGCCGAAGACGAGATTTCTACTGGCAAAAATGACCGCCTAACGAATTGAAAATAAAGCACTTGTTTGTTATTTCCGTAAAAAATCATCACAACATACATACACAAAAGAAATATACGGCGGATAGCCCATTTCAGACGTATTAACAAAATATGCCTGTTCTTCCATGGGATCCGGATAAAAGCATTTACATAAAAATCAAATATTGTATAGGCCTACAAGCATTTAAGTTGGTTGTTTTGCGATCCTTCGCTGCCAACGTACATGAAGTCATGTCATTGATGGGGAGAAATGAAGAAGATTCGGGTTTGAATGTTTTTCTGTCAAATATCGTCTGTATATATAGGCTTATATTATAAGTTCTGGCAGTATAAGCATTTTCTCTTGTGGCTCTAGCATACTATAGCTAGGACACTTTTGAGCCGCAGATTTGCGGATGAAATCTACGGGCTAACGGCTTACTCGACACGTACCATATCATTTACCGTATAGGACAATTACCCCCGGAAAACTACCCCCACGACAATGACCCCCAGAAATTTACCCCCCCCCCCCCACCCCCAGGACATCCAATGAAGTTAAAGGTAAAGACCAGTATTGGAAACGCCCCAATTTCAAAAAATGAAATGGAAGCTCTCATTACCAATCATGTCAAAGAATATGTTTTGACTAATACATGATGATACAAAATTTGCCGGGAAACCGCCTACTAATTCATATATTTGGTAAATTTGTTTCTCTCATGGTCTGTGAGAGATATAGGGTAGTCCTATATACATCTTTCTGTGTATAGTGCTTGTAACTTTACGAAGAATGGGCCAAATTTCTTATCATTTTGATGATTCCAGAACCTTGCAGATGCTAGATGCTAGATGATCAACCTTTTCTGATCGATTCCACAACGTTTCTTTCACAATGCAATCGCATGACCATAACTGGTCTTTACCTTTAATGAACCATCCCGAGGACAAGGCCTCCCCCCCCCCCTTGTTCACTAAAGATGAAGTTTACCCTGTATTCATTAGTTTCAATGAAAGCAGAACTTTTTTCGAGGGGGGGGTGGCCTTGGGGGATGATTGTCCAATGGGGTATAATTTTTCAAGGGGTATTTGTCCAAGAAGGTTATTTTATTAAAAAGAGCGGTATTTGTCATCGGGGGGGGGGGGGCTATAAGTGTCCAGGGGGAGGGGTAATTTTGCGGGGTAGTTATCCTAGCTAGCGCGGGGGTTAATTTTACGAGGGTAATTGTCCCTCTGGTGTCTGGCCGGGGTGCATGCTCAGGGGTTATTGTCCTAGAACCATTATTTTCTTCATGTTTAACTGATATTTTGGCTCGCCCAGGTCGAGCCACACAACCCCACCAACAACATTTGAGTAAACGTCAGTCATCCTTGTTAACGCTGTGTTTCTATTTTCAATATCAAATTTCATTTGAATTTCACTTTATTTCATTTTTCTACTATACTATATACCGTCCTTGTTTTCACGAAGTGACGGTAGTGAGGAAAATCGTAACGCAAAGTGAATGCAATTTTTTTTCACTACCGTCACTTCGTGAAAACAGCGATTACTGTACGATGGGGCAGTGGTGTATTTAGGGGGCCGGGCCCCTCCTCTGCCAAAAACAGGTAAATTTAACCCTTTTTGAAGAAAAAAAAAAGAAGACGGGTCCCCTCCCACTGGCTCAAAGGGGGGTGGTGTTACGTAAATAAGCGGGGGGGGGGGGGGGGGGGTAAGGAGCACATTTGTGTTCCTTTCCCAAATTGTGAGAATCAGCTAGCAGGCGAATAAGTGGGGGAGGGGGAGGTAAGAGCACTATTTTTTTTCTTTGCTCAACTGGGGGTGTGGGGGGGGGGGGTGTTGAGTAAAAAAACAACAACATAGTGCTCACTACCCTACCCCCCCCCCTCCCCCCTCAAGCCGTAGTTAAATACCTAAAATCCCTTAGCAGTAAAGGAGTAAAGGTGGTTCGTAATTTTTAACCAAAAAGAACATACAAAATAATAAAACCTGAATTGAATCACACATTAATTATATTCCATTTAAAGAAAAGGAGATCCAACAGGAATTAAATTTTCTATACATTCCGCATGCCCCTATAAATGGATGTATTTATAATAGCGATACGCGCATATCCTGGAATAAAGTTGTGAGAAAATTACCGTAGTTCACTTCAAACAAATGAAATACAAATCCGAGATAGTTTTGAAGAGAACTCAAGAGAACTCGATCTCTCAACGATTTTTTTATTTCATTTTTAAAGGTATTATTTATAATAAAAGGGGTGATCAATAATGTTCCCGATATGTTTACTCTAGATTTAATTTCTATCGGGAATCCCATCCGACCTCCCAATCCCAGAAACCCTAACAACGCCAATGTAACGTTTTCTCACCCCCTAGCTCATCATGACGTGCACCCTACCCCCATCTCGATCCTCCCACTCTCCCGGCCATCCCCTACATGTATGTTTTCCGGGGTTTTCTCCGTTCTTTTTAGCCTCTTAGGCGGATTCATCAGACCCAATTTCTCGCGTATCTCGAGAGTTCTTTGATGAATTAACTGATCGACTGACGACTCAACGACACGACAGAGCCCAAACAGAGTGTATTGGTTGGTCTTATTTCCGCAAGAAATATGAATTTTACAATAAAAGGCATATCCTTTCGATTACAAGAAGCATGTGAAAGGTATAGTTCTTAGCTTTGTACATGGGATGTGCGCAGAAAGCAGTCTGGATACCTGAATAATTCGTTTCTATTATCGACTTGTGGAAACCGCTCAGTGAACAGGGAAGAGCCAGAGCGGGAATTGTCTGACTTCTACGCCAGAAGGTGCGGCTTGTGCCCACCACCATCACACTGAGGGGATGTCGCAGAAAATGACAGGCCGCAAAGTGAAAGGTTTTCCATGTTTGACGAACACACGGAAAGCAGTTCGACCGTCTTTCAATGTTACACAAAGGCTTCGTATGCGAGAGGTATAACTTCTATTTATGATTTTGTTTGATGAGAAGGAGACTAGGAGAGTTAAGCATGTGTAAAATTCAAAAGTTAGATCTAGAATCTAACTGTTAGATCTAGAAAGCCATCTTGATCTTTCAAAATTCTTTGTCATGTTTTTCAAATTGTTTATCGTTAATGAATAATGTTATTGTAGAAGTGGGAATAGAATTATGATTTATGTAGGCCTAAGGTCTAGCTTCAAGGACCAGGGGCGTAGCCAAAGGGGGGGGGGCGGTGGGGGCAGTCGCCCCCCCCCCCCCAAAAAAAAAAGAGAAAGAAGAAAGAAAGAGGACGTAGGAAGAAAAAGGTACAACGAAGAGTCTTCTTTCTCTAATAATTTAATGAAACGTCCAAGCTTTCGCGCGGGAGGGGGGGAAACTGAATTCAGATAAGGATTAAGAGCCGAGAACGGTACAACGTACTTGTAGTTGTATCGTCTTCTTTCTCTAATAATCTAATGAAACATCAGAGCTTCCGTGCTACGCAGAGAAAGGGGAACTTGATTCAGACAAGGATTAAGAGTCGAGAACAGTACAACGAATCGTCTTTTCTCTTATAATTTTTAATGAAACGTCAAAAGAAACTGAATTTAGACAAGGATTAAGAGTCGAGAACGGTCCAGTGAATCGTTTTCTTTCTCTAATAATTTGATGAAACGTCACTCCCCCTCCCTGCACCCCCCCCCCCCCCTAGGGAGTGTGCTTTGCACGCTCTGTAATTGATTCGCATGCTGCCTTCGCGTGCTCACTACTGCCCCCCCCCCCCCTGAAATGAAATTCTGGCTACGCGCTAACTCTGGGAAGCTCCGATGCCGAATGCGTCGGAGCTTCGGGTGGTGCATCGAAAAACATTCTAACAGCAGGTTGGGCGACATTATCTCAAAATATGCAAGGGGAGTAATTACAATTTTTACTTACTAGGTTGCTCGACTCCTCTGGGCATCTATCCAGCAACTTGAAATTATAATTTGAAGAAGTCTTTGATGGGAAAAAGGGGGTGATTCTTCGTCCTACCCCAACGATTCTTCCATGTTGTATCGTCTGCTCAACATGGCGAAAAGAAAGTACGCATGCGCGGTAGTGCATACTTTCTCTTGATTTTTCACTTGATTTTGACATTTTCTGTGTTTATTGCACCAAAATAACTACATATAAATTTTCTTCCAGTGTAGATTTTACACAGGAATTGTACTAATTATTTCACTTCAGTATAAAATTATGATTGATTATTTTATGGAATAAAAAGGTGTTAAAAATGCCACATCTGGGGCTTCTGGGCCTTAAAAAAGCCCTAAAATCCACTAGCTTCCGGGGGCTTTGCTCCCTGGACCCCACCCGAAATCGGCTCGATCGCTTCACTCCCTCGCAACACAGTCACCAAACATACAGGTTGGCACTTCAACCTGACAACCTCAATAAATTTTTGTTTTGGCACTTCTGATAAACTAGTTGATAAGGCCTGGTCTAGATCTTCTGTTAAGTCTCAATTTTCCATTCCTTACAAGTTTAATACAGTAAGAGTTAGTTTTTATTTTCCCCACGGCCAAGCATAATTTTGAGACAAGACTCCTTCTTGTAGTTGTACATGTATGAACGGTATTGATCTTTGATTAACATATCATTTATTTGCAAATGTTGATTAACTTGGCAACTTTAAATATTTAATTGATCCCCCCCTCCCCCCCCCCCCCCTGTTACACCCACAAATGTAATAACGCCCACAAATGTAATAACACTTTACCCACAAATGTAATAACACCCACAAATGTAATAACACTTTACCCACAAATGTAATAACACTTTACCCACAAATGTAATAATTTCACCCACAAATCGTCATTGTTTTCACGAAGTGACGGTAGTGAAGAAAAATTGCATTCACTTTGCGTTACGATTTTCCTTACTACCGTCACTTCGTGAAAACAAGGACGAAATGTAATAACCACTTTACCCACAAATGTAATAATTTTGAATCACCCATAAGGCCACAAATGTAATAATGACTTTACCCACAAATATAATGAATTTGAAGGGATATTTTGTCAAAACTAAAACCCTGTAATAAAGCATGGGTATAGTGCGCAGTCTTTACTCCAGACCCGGTTATTTCAAAAATTTAAAACATCTTCAAAACTAAGACCCCATAATCCTTTTCCTGTGGAATAACATGAGAATCGAGCGTAGTCTTTCCTCCAGACCCGGTTATTCAAAAGTAAAAAAAAAAAAAAAATTTTAAACTAAGACCCCACCATCTTCCAAACTAAGACCCGGTAATAAAGCGTGGGTTAAGAGCGTAGTTTTTCTTCCAGACCCGGTTATTTCAAAACTTTTAAAAAATCTTCAAAACTAAGACCCCATCATCTTATTCCTGTGGAAGAACATTTTTTTTAACGTAGTCTTTTCTCCAGACCCGGTTATTCAAAAGTTAAAAAAAAAAAAAAACAACAACAAAAAAAAAACTTTTAAACTAAGACCCCTCCATCTTCCAAATTAAGACCCGGTAATAAAGCGTGTGTGTGTGTGTAAAGCATGGGATTAGAGCGTAGTCTTTACTTCAGACTCGGTGATAAAAAATTTTTTTTTTTAAATCTTCAAACTAAGACCTCACCATCTCATTCCTTGAGATCAGTTCTCTGTATTTTTTCCATTTCATGTCAAATACTTTTGTGGGCTTCTAATCATCTAGTTTATGCTAAATTACATGTAAATATCCCTGTGACTTTATTCTTGAAGAGTATGAGTCTTCTTTATTATAAACAGGTAATTTCTGAAGTACTGTATGTTGTAGACCTATGTGCTAATGCAAAATTTGATCTGACTTGTAAACAAATTTTATTGATTTATGTCATTATGCAGAAGTAATAATAAATGAAATAAAAAGTACAGATAGCTTTATAATTTATAGATAAATGAATACCAGTAGTAGATCTGTGTCCTAACGTTAGGCTATGCCACATTGTGTATCTCGAAACATGACAAAAATAATGTCTTCTCTTTTGCCTTTGTATTATTTAAATTCCCCTGGGATAAGTCATTTACATGTATGTGACCTCTGTAATTGATACATTTAACTTTATATTACATGTATACCTCCTTTTCAGCTGAGGGGATGTTTACAGCCAACCAGACAAACTTACCCAGTATGCCGGTCCCTCTTTGGCAAGATACCTGGGCGTCTTGGCATCCCACTCAAGGCTATCATCGACGATCACTTTCTAACTGAGGAAGGGTGAGTGAAATACTTTTAAGGGATTGGGTAACTTTATCTCAGATTCTGACAAAAAATCCTGGATTTAGCTCATGAACCTTTAAGTCAGTCAGAAACCCCATGACTTTTACAAATTGATCGCCTGTCTGATAATCAAGATATTTATGATTGGAAATAGAAATTTAAATTTATTTTTATGCCTCCGCCACCGAAGGTGGTGCCGGAGGCATCATGTTTTCGGGTTGTCCGTCCGTACGTCCGTACGTCGTACCGTACGTCCGTCCCGTTTGACCGTTATCACAATATCTCAAGAACCATTTAAGATTTAAACTTAAGACTCGGGAATAGTATTTATCACCATAGGAAGACGATCTGATTAGATTTTGGAGTACGTAGGTCAAAGGTCACAGGTCACAGAGGTCAACTTATGAAATTCCTTGTATTGAGTTTGTTAGCGCGATATCTCAAGAACCATTTGAGATTTAAACTTCAAACTTAAGGATAGTATGTATCACCATAGGAAGACGATCTGATTAGATTTTGGAGCACGTATGTCAAAGGTCAAGTGTCACAGAGGTCAACTTATCAAATTCCATACATTGAGATTGTTATCATGATATCTCAAGAACCACTGGAAATTTAAACTTCAAACTTAGTGATAGTGTGTATCACTATTGGAAAACAATCTGATTACATTTTGGAGCACGTAGGTCAAAGGTCAAGGGTCATAGAGGTCAACTTAAGAAATTCCATACATTGAGATTGTTATCATGATATCTCAAGAACCACTGGAGATGTAAAAACTTCAAACTTAAGGATAGTATGTATCACCATACAAAGACGATCTGATTAGATTTTGGAGCACGTAGGTCAAAGGTCAAGGGTCACAGAGGTCAACTTATGAAATTCCATACATTGAGATTGTTATCATAATATCTCAAGAACCACTGGAGATTTAAACTTCAAACTTAATGATAGTGTGTATCACCATAGGAAGACAATCTGATTAGATTTTGGAGCACGTAGGTCAAAGGTCAAGGGTCACAGAGGTCAACTTATGGAATTCCATACATTGAGATCGTTATCGCGATATCTCAAGAACCACTGGAGAATTTTCACTTCAAACTTAATGATAGTATGTATCACCATATCATAATATCTCAAGAACCACTGGAGATTTAAACTTCAAACTTAATGATAGTGTGTATCACCATAGGAAGACAATCTGATTAGATTTTGGAGCACGTAGGTCAAAGGTCAAGGGTCACAGAGGTCAACTTATGAAATTCCATACATTGAGATCGTTATCGCGATATCTCAAGAACCACTGGAGAATTTTCACTTCAAACTTAATGATAGTATGTATCACCATATCATAATATCTCAAGAACCACTGGAGATTTCAACTTCAAACTTAATGATAGTGTGTATCACCATAGGAAGACAATCTGATTAGATTTTGGAGCACGTAGGTCAAAGGTCAAGGGTCACAGAGGTCAACTTATGAAATTCCATACATTGAGATTGTTATGATATCTCAAGAACCACTGGAGATTTAAACTCCAAACTTGTTTAAATTGCTCTATGGCGGAGGCATCATTTTCGACTGCGCGCAGTCAAAATTCCATCTAGTTCTAACAGTTTTCATATACACTACAGTCTGTTGGGGAAAATGAGTATGATTAAACCGGTCACTCAAAGGTTTTTAAACTTTTTACTTTTTTATGGCACTTAATGATCATTTTGAAGAGCAATTTTTTTTAAGGCTTCAATATTACACCATATCACAGCCACTGATGAACATGTAGGGCCATGCATCTCAGATTTAACATTGTTAAACGATGTCTTTAAAGAACTAATATGCTTTCAAGGAATTACGTTGATATCCAAATTCACAGCCTTTTTACTTTTTTCTTTCTTTCAGTAGTACCTGTACATGAATAAATGCAGGAAAAGAGGCCTTTACCCCCTCTGTATATGATGTATATGAATCATTTCAACCCTAACACATTTTTCTAATTTGATTTGACAAGTTAAACTAATTTTTAGCCTTCCGGTATTGCCATACATGTATTCTCTTTGCCATAGCTTCCACTACTCTGTCATTTTTATATTCATTAGTGACATTGCTCTTGTGCTTTGCAGGCATGTTTTCTTGGGGTTCAGCAAAGATGGTAACTTTGTACTCTCCTACACACTCAATGTGGACACCGATGATCACACAGCATTTCCTGTGTACATCTATCAGCTCCACTGGTGGAGATTCAATCACTACCAAGCCATGGAAAAGGTTTGCGACTCTCCCATTAGGCAACTTTATTCAGTCTAGCAAAATGGAGTGGGAATGTGTGTATGTGTAATTGATTTTTTTACAGACATGTATCAATCAGATATGATTATTAACGTCTGGGGACCGACTTTTAACGTCACCATCCGAAAGATGTGACTCAGTTTCGAACCTGCGTCCTCAGCTGAATCAGTTTGTAACTTCCATTATCAGCTGGATTACAGGCGCACACAACAACGCCCCGTTTAACATAAATACATGGCTTTTTAAGCAAAGGATCATGTAAAGTGGACATGTAATAATAATAGCTATACTAACATGTATATTGGGCACACATCCATCCAGGACATGCAAGAGGTGTCAACAAAGGAGTTTGTATTACCCTGACCTTATCCTAGCTGCCCTAAGGTGCTGGAAATACTCAAGTAATTAATGACTAACAGATAACCAGCTACTTGCGCCCTCTATGTAGCAAACAATGCATAAGCGGTGACTATTGGTCCCCCATGATCTCCTTTTTCTTATGTTAATTGAGAGCTGATTTGATGAGATAACCACCTGTCAGTGACCATGCAGGGATGTCTAATCACTCATGGCCAAACTAGTGCAGGTAGGCTTTAGATATACCTGGATGAAGAATGGCAAATTTATGTAGATCAATGTCTTGCCAAATGAGATAACGGTAAGTGCGTGGAGCTGGGGCTTTAAACTGTTAACAATTTGATCCATAGTCTATCAATATATCTACTAGATGACAACAACTTATAGCCTTGTGTAGGATATTTCTAACCCCCCCCCCCCCCCCCAGGCAGACAACAGAGTCAAATTACTATATTACTAGCAAGACCCGCGAAAATCCGCGGGATCCTAGAGGGGGGCGGGGGGTGTAAATAGATATATAGAGACTGTCTAAATTAAAACCACCAAGAACTTTATTTGCCATTCAGGCCATTAAGAAATATACATGTTAAGCGTCCCCGCCCGCTTCCTTTTTGGGGGCCGCCTCCTATTTTTTTTTTTTTTTTTTTTTTTGAAAAGTTTTTTTTTTTTTTTTTTTTTTTTTTTTTTTTTTTTTTGAAGAAAAAAAAACATGAAAAGCACTGCTAAAATGTATTTCTGTTTTTAAAAAAGAAAAAAAAAAAAATTGTCGGCCGCCATCTTGAAAAATAGCCCGAATGTCAGGAAAAATGTACGGAGCCGCCATTTTGAAAGAAAATAAAAAGAAAAAAAAAGGGCCTCCTCCTTCCCATTTTTCGAAAAAAACAGGAAGCTAAACATGTTTTTTTTTAAATTTGGCCTTATATAAAAATAAAATAAAACGATCCAACTGTACCGGTAGTTATTCTTTAAGCCACTGGAACTGCGTAGAGTTCCGTAATGTGGCGTACCGACTACGCAGAAATTAGGCTGCGTATTAATGGGAAAATAGTCCCTGCGTAGGTTATGCATAGGCTGGCGAAAAAAATTAAACAGGTTGAATTGTTTTCGTTCATCTTGCGTACCCCTTTCCGTCCCTCAGCATATAGTAACGTAGGCCAGCGTAGTTGTTACGCAACACTACGCAACTCTACGTATTGACCCCACGCCAATTAGTGACCCGCAAGTGTCACAAATAAAGTATTAAAAATATGCTCATCTGACCCTATGCGCCTAAAACCCCCGAGCTTTCGGGGGTTTATGGCCCCTTGAAACCCGTGGACCCCACGCCTATATTATATATACACTCAACTCGCTGCGATCTGATTTCCCCCCCCCCCCCCCCAACTTTGAAGAACGTAACCCCCGAGCTTTTGTGGGTTTATGGCCCCTTGAAACCCGTGGACCCCACGCCTATATTATATATACACTCAACTCAGGACCCGCGGAAATCCGCGGGATTCTAGATGGGGTGCGCAGGCAAAAAATTAAGTTTTTCATTTCGGGGGCTCCATTTCAAATTTTAGGGAAATTTTCGGGGGCTCTTTTTTCTGGGGCTACTTTTTCATTAATTCATATAAGGATAGGACTACACTTTGTTGAGATTTGTTAAGTAGGCTAAGGTTTCATTCTTCCTACTTCATAATTGCCTATTTAAAAAAAAAAACATTTTTCTAGTTCAATAACTAAGTTTTCATGCATTGATTTGATGCAAGAACTGTAACATAATAGACCCCAGATTGTGATTATTTCTGACCATGAATTTCGATAATCATTTTTCAAAGTAAAATTTTCACAGGAAAATCAGACAGTCTAGACATTAGTAATACTTTTACTAATTCTAAGCTCAGGTTTCGTAAATCTATTCACGAAACTATATTGAAATCGCGGCAATAATCATGCAAACCAACAGATAACAATTTCAAAGTGTCAAATCTCTTCGACTCGAGCTCAGCTCAGCTGAACTCACACACACACACTACAGCGTAACTCCATTTAGCTCGAACACCGGCGCCGCAGGCGTCGGACGCCTGCGGTGCGCGGTTCCGATGTTGGAGCTTTCCGGAGTTACACTGCACTGTGTGTAATGTATGTATGTGTACGTAGACTGAAGGCAGCTAATTGCGACTGAACTGTCAGTCCGATGGTTTTCTTGTGAAAACTTTCCTTTAGAAAATGATAATCAAAATGTAGTATAAATGGCCGTAGCAATCACAAAATAAGCTTTGATTTCATACCTCCATATACGAAAACTATATACAAATCGCGGCAATCATGATGGAAATAGGTCTCTAAGTTTGGACGTCGACGGGAATTAGCCCCGTGTATGATCTCTTGGGCTTTTGCAGCTAGTACAAAGCACACCCTATAGCACGATGGCTTTCTCGTGGGTAATCCCGCCCTCTGCATAGAGCATTTAATACGCAACATAATGTGAGTTGCTCGTCGTCTGTCGAGTGTCTCTTTGATACAATGTTGAATATCCATGAGGTATCTCTGTCGTCACGCATATCCTGCATTATGCATGTCGCGTCTGTTTTCGCCCTGGACGTCGACACGGAGGAGGACCTCGGGCGGAGTATAGCCAATTCCACAGAGTAGACTCTCCCGCGGACGATGGCACCGGGCACAGGTACCCCGAGGGGAGGGTTCAGGAGGAGATAGCCGCACCAACTTGGGTCGGCGATCTCATTAAAAAACAATAGAATACAAAGGCTCGCCGAGACGTCGCGCCCCCCGCGGAGCCTTAGCGTATTATTATTATAGAAGTGCATGTCTAATGTAGCTTCAATGTACCTACATGAAGATCCAGATAGGTAAGAAAGTTAGCCCGATTTGATCATCTTTTTTATATCATAATGAAATAAAGAATTTAAAAAGAATTGAAATGAGAATGTCGTTACCAATATTGTATTGTTTGCCATAAAGTCTTGGACTGATGCAGTGATGTCTTTTTTTAAAAGTGATTGAGCCTTTAATTACGGACAAACATTCTGTCTGTAATATGGTCCCCATTCTTACTCTTAACCTCCTTTTTTGTAAGGCATCATGTCTAAAGTATTTTTACAAAGAATTCTTCTTTGAAATACATGTGTGGTTCTTAGCAAACAATTCTCTTCTTAATCCTTGTATGACATTGGAGTTTTCTATGATTTCTTTCTTTGTAAGGTTTCTGAAGTCGGACTCTTTGGTGAGGAAGAAATTCAACAAGATCTGTACATCGCCATCTGCAGTTGGCCAAGTGACAGTACTAAGGTTATGGTGTATGGTTGGTAAGTCATGAAGCAGCGCTGTGGGGGTGGGGAGGGGGGGGGGGGGGTCGCAACAGGGGCAATGGCCTAGCACATTTAGCAGCTCCAGCAATAATACTAAAAAGAAGGATAATAATGGGTTCTTGTATAGCGCTCATGTCTGTCAGACTTGACACTCCTGTCACTCCACAAGTATTACCCCGGCTTTAGCATGGCTGCTCTTTTGGCGCTGTAGCATTTTCAGGAATTAAAACCTGCCAGGTTCCTGTTTACCTCACCTGGGTCGAGTGAGGCAGATAAAGGTGAATGTCTTGCCGAAGGACATCACTGATGTAGCAGGCACGCGAACCCCATACCTTGTGGCTCACAGTCAGGACACCTGTCCACAAGACATCATCTAGGGTTTTTGAGCTCCCGTCAAACTTTGTGCATGTTATATTGTTTTATGTTGATTTAACAAATAAAATGATACTAAAATGATAATGCATTGTAGTCCAACTAATAAGAAAAAAAAAGAATAAGAGGAGGCACGATAGCTCAGTCGGTAGAGCAGTGGTCTCGTAATCCGGTGACCCCGGTTCGAAACCAAGACGATGCGCTAGTGCCCCCTCGTAAGGCATTAATCCTCATTACCAGGTCCCTCGGAGAGGACCTAAAGCCGTCGGCCGTCTGGTTGCTTACTTACAAGCATTTATGCTTTCTTAGCAGTCAGGTAAAATAACCCCCACCACCACCTAACTTTACCTCTCATTCTCATTCCAAATTTTTTCTACTCCAGTTCTACCTCATCAAAGCCACTCTTAGATGAGGAGAAGCAGCTATGTTATGTAACCATTACAGCAGTGCCATCTACGGAGCCATGTCCCAACTGCCTTCACCTCAAGTACACATCCGACATGGCCACAGGTCTCTCCTCAGGTAATGTTAATTTAAAAGCCATTAAGCCTGCACTAGCATCACAAATGTTAGCCACTAAAACTTTCAATTGTCCAGAATGTCTTTATCGGAAAGAAGGCTTCTAATAAAGCACAGATGTGAGAAGCTTTTGGATGCCTGAATAAACACTAAACATACATTTTTAGAAGCTTTTGGATGGCTAAATAAACACTAAGCATACATTTTTAGAAGAAATAGTTTACTGGCTGGACTACAATGAATTTGCAAAGTAAACTCGGGATTTTGTCAAGAGGGGGCAATTCAAAGGCTTTAATAACTGAAAGATTTTGTGGTACATGTGATATTACTTATTTGCTTCATGCCTGTTCCTGTTAATGTTTTACCTCAGGTTTCAACCCAGGTTGGTTGCCTCCAGAATTCCAGGAGGAGCTTCCTACTCCTGCAGCACCTACGTGTTTGAAGCATGGCTTCGCTGTCCACACGAAGTATGAACTTGCCCCACCCTTTCCGTCCTTCTCCCCGAAACACAGCCTTTCTAAGGACGGGGTCACAGTACTTAACACAGGTTACTCCATCATAGCCCTTGCAGTCAGCTTGGGCAAAGGATCACCTTGCAGCAGCCTCTACTCTCCAGGCAACAGCTCAGCCAGGTCCTTCGCGACGCGTGCTTCCGATGTCGGCTCGATGCGCGGCGGGGGCAGCCGCTGCAGGGACTGGTTGCACTCCTCCTCCACTAACTCTCAGGGATTTGCTCCAGTAGACGAGCGCAACGGCTCGGACAGGAGACACGACATCAGTACAGTGCCTATTTATTCGCCGTCTTCCACCGCCATTACTGACTTCTGTAACTTTGGTATCAATGAGGAGAGCTCTAACTCGGAAGACCTTCTCCTGGGCATACGTCTTGCGAGTGGTCTTCAGGCTCCTCGAAGCTCATCACCTTCAGTCATCAGTTCAAGAGACTTTCTGGACATCCTCGATGAGGAGGAATTTGAAGGAGCAGACCTCTGTGAGTTTGCAAAACAAACCAAAGTACTTCAAGGACATTCAGGAAAAAGCCCGTTCAGTCCTTCCTCTCAGGAACCTAACGCAAGAACAGTCGACCTCTCGGCTACACAAGAAACGGACTGTGACAGTACATCATCGGCCGATGTCGACACCACCGACGGCAGCAGACTACCAAAGACCACTGTGCCACACAAGGATGGCACACATTCCAAAGTTTCAGACTCGTGCAGTGTACGGTTATCCGTTGCGCAGGGTGCATCTAACAGAACTCTTGTGGCTTCACCTGACCAGGAAGCCGCCTCTACTTCATCTGAAAGGCTTGTCTCTCCTAGTGACCATACCAAAACTGTGCAATCCAAGAGTGCTTCTAATCCTTCAGAGATTTGCATCACCTTAACCTCGTCCTCTACGACGGCAATCCCGAAGATGGGCAATCCCAACCCTCTGCAGGGAAGTCCTAGACATGTCCCTCACTCCTGTAGTTTGGACCCAGAATCCAGGTACTGTACATCTACATTTTGGTAGTTATTGGCACATGCTTACCCATTACCTGCTCATGTAACAAATCTCAAGAAAGGTTCTAAAAACAATTTTATTTGTATTAAAAATAATTTTGTGCAGTTTCAGAAATATCTATTATAGAGGCACAATTTGGTTATCTGATGTGAAATTAGTCTTAAACAATACCAGTAATAAGTTTGAGAAATGGATACTGTTGTAAACTAGGGAAAAGAGGGAAAGGAAATTATCCTTAAAAATGCAAAGCGACACTCAGAAAATGATAATCATGATTTGTATTTCAACATTCAGTCCTGTCATGAAACATTCAGCATCAGAAGGACATACAGAATTTACGTCAGATGCATTTGTCTGGGCAACAATCTGTTAGTATCTTACTTGTTTTGCGACACTGTTTTACCCACCATATCATCTCAAGAACCCAAAGGGGAACATAAGTTTTGTTATAAAACTTGTTAGCCATAACAAGTTACAATGATTGGACAAACTACGAAAGTTGTTGCATTTGATTGACTGTGAGTAAAGTCATAGGATTGTGACAGTAATACCTTCCTTGAAACATGAACCTCATTTGATTTGATTAATTTATTCTCTGATTTCACAATAAAAAACATGATATATACAGAACATTTACAACATAATATAAATAGACATTTAGAACAGACATAATATACAATGTAAAAAAGATAAAAAAGAAGAAGACAATAATGAAGTCGGAAGGACACCCAGTTCAGTCAAGTCATGGAGACAAGACTGTTCTTCCATGGGGTCCAAGATGATTGTTATAATATTCAATATATATCGTGTAGTGAGGAACACATGACTAGAAAGCAAAATTACATTCTTGATAGAGCAACGTCGATCTGGCGCTGCTCAGTGGCTGCCGGGCTCACGATCAATTGGGCAAAAAGAATTTCTGTTTCAGTTTAACTTAATAAAACTTGGAGTGGACTGTAAAAGATTATTATTATTATTATTATTATTATTATTATTATTATTATCTTTTCGTCATCAGGTATCATCACCAGATTGCAGAGAGTAGCTCTAAGCACATGGCAGGTCTGTATGATGCACATCCAGGATGCCATGGGCTCTCACCTCGTAGTCTAGAGAGTGAGGACTTCAGCCCTTCGACTAGTAACTGCCCTACACCAAGCAGATGGAGCCAAAACCCAGTATGTCGGTAAGACTCGGGGATTGCTCCATTTTTCTAGTATTTAAAAAAAATAGGGTATTCATATGCAATCATTATTCATGCCATAGGAAGAAGAATGGTTATGGAACAAAATGTAGATTCATTCTTGTCAAAAGTTAAGGGGACTAAACATTCCATTTTTCCAGGTAATAAAACAAATTAAGAAATTGATGGCAAATCCTGATATTGAAGTCTCACCCCCCCCCCCCATAACAAAAAGTATTATCACCCCTGCCCATTTCAGTAAAGTTTGTTGTATATTGTACTGATAATAATTTATTGAATACTATTGATGATTAGTTGTGGAGCTCCATAGATATAATACATTAATTGTATTTACAATCAATTGTCAACCCATTGGAGTACAAAACAATTTTCCATGACACGCAAGTTTTATAGTTCTGATCCCGAACTATGTATTCAATAGGTTAACTTTATTCCTGGGAGGGCATAGAGGGTTTTGAAGTTACATCTATGTTTATTTGATAAGAAGTAGTTATCATTCATTTTGTATTTTGGGGGCCAGAAGGGTACTAGATGGCATCATTTTGCGCAGAGTTAATGCCATTCAAGTTTAAGAACACATTGATGATTTTATTTGTTCAAAGATTTGTTATCTTTCATTATAATGCTTTAGCACTTAAATTTTTTTTTAATGTAAAAAAGTTACATGATACTGTATTATTTAATTGTATTAATGTAAATACAAAACAAACAAGTTTTACATTCATATGTATTAACAAACTAAAAAGAAAAATCTTGCCAGAGAATGAAACTATGCTCGACTAGCACTTGTGCTTACTTCTAGTTTCCATTAACAACTACACCTAAATATTAGTAATACATATATTTACGTGTATATCTTTTGTTCATTTAATAGTATGCAGAGCTATGTCTAAATATCGTTTTAAAACCATTACTGTTCAATCAACATTACTCTTATGTTATGTATACATGAATCGGTATTATTCTTTGCGTTGTATGATTGTTCATAATATAATGTACTGTCATTATTGTGATGTGTTGTTGTTAATAAATTCAAATTTTAGCTCCAAACAGATAATATTCTGATCTCTGACTTGCATCTCTCTCTTCCATTGTGGTACAGGCACAGCCGTCTGCCCTGTGATAACTGGAGCTCCTGCAGCTCCATCTCCTTCCATCGCCTGAACGAGGTCAACGACAAGGACGAGATCGGAAGCGAGATTGACCACACCTGCCCATACCACCATGGTATCTTTGACCACTACTCCCAGGTCAGCGGCCGCAGCACCATCAGAGAATGCACCTGCAAGCTCCAGAGGTTCACCTACTCCGTCCGTCGCTACATGGAGCGGTTGTTCCCGATAGAGGAACCGATAGAAAGTGATAGTAAGTTAGAAACGAGAATCATGAATCGCACATAGATGCTGTAGCGTTTTCACCATTATGTTGCTTACAATTCACATTGCTGTACCAATACTTTTATTGCCAAAACTATGGAAATGTATGGTAATGGTACAGCTTCATTAATTATTTCCAAAGCACTTTGAAAAAGCTGTGATAAGCACTAACATTAAATTATTGTCATTATTTTGTAATCTACTTCATGAGTTGGAAGAGAAGTGGATTTTCTCAGGCATTCTGTATAAATTTCATCCTGTTGCTCTGATCTGAAATATTGAATAGGTAGTATGAGTCAATCATCTCAATAGACGAATAGTAATTATGAATAAAATGTTTTGGAATGATACTTGCCACTATTTATAGGAAATTAGTGGTTTGTCTACCAACCCCCCTACTTGATATGTAAGGAGTTTATGCTTTGTGATACACACCTTTTCTGGGAGACAAAATCATAGTAACTGGTTAATGGTGTTTGTGTGTTAAGGCTGTGATACAACAATGTCATCGTAAGTTATGATAACGAATGTCTCTGTTATTTGTTCTCTTCTTGTGACAGGCTTTGAATACCATAGTATGCTACCATTGACCGTGGTGGGGTCCAACAACATGAGAATGTTACCGGCCAATAGAAGTCTTCCTCAAGAAGTAAGTTCAGGGGGACGTTTCACAAAACTTGTCATCAGTGACAAATGACATTTTTTGTTATAAGCTACTGAAATCCTTGCTTCTGATTGGTTATCAGCAGATTTGTCACTGACTTTCTGTCATTTGTCATTGAAAAATGGTTTTGTGAAACGGGTCCTGCTCCAAAACAAAATTGGAGGAAATGATGATGATGGTAGTGATCATCGTGATGTTGGTGGTTTGATGATGATGGGATAGTAGATTATTTTTATGGTGATAATGAGTGTGATGGTCATGATGATGATGGTCATGAGTTTGACGATGATTGTGGTGGGATGGAGAAGATGATAATAATTATTATGTAATTGATGATGATCATGATGATGATGAAGGGTGGTGGTGGTGGTAGTGCAGGTGGGGATGATGGGGATGATGATTGTTTTGCTATTTTATTGCAATGTGTACTTTTCTATGTTTCCTATGTTGAGGTCAACACCATGATAAAGATTTAGAACTTGAAACTTTTCACATCAATCCGAAAGTGACAAAGACCTGCATGGTTCATAGTTTAAAAACTTTTTTGTTTTCTCCTCAGGGTCCATTCGTGGAGGTAAAGCAGCTGACAATGGATGCAGAGCATTACATGTGTGAAGCAATCCGTACAGTAGCGCCGTGGGGCCGACGGTACATCGCATTTACAGACTATGATATGCAAGTACTAGATGTAAGTAAGATCTAAGGCTGACCAGATGATAGTAATAGTCACATAATCCTTTCATATGCTATAGTATCCTTCTTTGCATGCCATATTCAATGAATGGTTACATTTTAAGGTTTTTATTTTTGTTAGCAATAATTTAGATACTCGCAGGGATTGTAGACCCCTCACTACCAAAATCAGTCAATAGTGTCTAAACTGAAAAATAAATTTACTTGCATGTTTTTTAATTATCAGAGTGTCACTCCTGTTTAAGCTATGACAACTGGAAAACTTTAATCACACATGAGGCATAATCTTTTAGTGTTCTTCAAGTTTGTTCTAATAAATTAAATGAAGGTTGCTGAGCTATCTATGGTTGAAAGCTGCAGCTTTAAGAGCTAAAACAAACATCATGGACATTCTTCAAGTGCTCTTCAAGTTTTGTTATTGAAATAAAAGTTAAACATTTCAGGTGTCTGAGAAGGTGTCTTTTAACATAGTCAAAGACCAAAGCTTTTCAATATTCTAATGATATTATGAGTAGGCTCCTCATCCACCTTAAATCTTCAGGTGTGTGCTGATTCCTGCAACGTTGTTGTGATGATCAAGTGCCTTGTGCGTGCCTGGCCTGAGCCCAAGAAACCCAAAGATGTCTTTGAGTTTGAAGATGACCCCGCCAAGTGAGTACCTCATCTTTGCTCTCGGGCTCAGGCTATTGTTGTAAATCATATTCACCAGTCATTATCAGTGTGTTGGCTCAGTCAGTAGAGCATCCGCCTCACATCCGGGAGGTCATGGGTTCTAACCCCAGCCGCGTCATACCAAAATACGTTAAAAGACGGGAGTTGCCGTTTGGCGTTCAATAATAAGGGATAGAGCAACATCGATCTGGCGCTGCTCAGTGGCTGCCGGGCTCATGATCAATTAGGCAAAAAGCATTTCCATTTTCGGTTTAATAAAATTTGGAGTGGACTTTAAAAGATTATTATTATCATTATTATTAAAGATGATGAAGAAGATTAGATAAAGCAGCTGTTGTGAGCATAGGGCCTTGCTGTTGTTACGAAGCACCGTACATGAAGTAGCCGTTCAAATGAACTTGATTTTGTAAACAAGCTTGCCAAACAAGGCTCCTGCAAGCTTAGGAAAAATCTTACACTGAAAGATCACATACTTGTAGTTTGGTCAAGCTGTAGTTGACCTGTGTCATACAGCTTAGTTTGAAAGAATTTTAGATATATTTTATTTTGTAATACTTGATATCAACTGCAGGGATACCAGTATTCAGGATTTTGCTTGATTTAATTGTTTATTTTCTATGAATTTTGTTTCCACAGTGACACTCCACAGATGTACCAGACTGGATTCAAGTTTGCATGGAATCTCAAAACAGGTATGGTTATCCCTCATTCTTTTCATCAAAAATATGTTTTATTTTAGTACCGTGCACTTGCCCACATAGGGAAGTACCTAGATTTATTAAAGAGAAGGTTGAGTTCTGGGAAGAGGTGAAAAATAATTTGTGAGCATTATCATTGTTATTATGCAAGTGTGGAAGAACATCAGATAAAACATGCTCTCTGAAAAGCATGGCTCTTCAAATGCCTTCATATTCTAAATATGGCATGTAACATCGTAAAAATCGGGACAGATTTTTACGCCACATGTTCGTGTAGTCCCATATACATCTTTACTAAGACTTGGCCAAATTTCTTATCATTTTGATAATTCCAGAACCTTGCAATACACACAAATACTTATATGCTAGATGATGGCCTTTTTCTGAACGATTCCACACCGTTTCTTTCACAATGCAATCACATGACCAGAACTCAACTTCATCTTTAAACAAACGGGTTAACGTATACCAAATTTTTTGCATTTTAACCACTAATTACCCCCAACTCTTTTAGTTCAGTACCAGACATTTAAAGTAGAGTCCTGCAGGGGTTCGTCCAAGCTCAGCTTTCTGTCCTTGCAGGGCAATCTGTCAGAGAATAGGGAGGACATGTACCACTACATACCATCATGTGATGATATTTACCCTCATTTATTACTCTTCCTCATTACCTCCTTCTGTTTAGGTAAGTACAAGACCTTTGAGGTGGAGTCCCTGCAGGGGTTCTAACAAGCCCAGCTTTGCACGGTGTGCTGTCCTTGCTGGGTACTCTGGCAGAGAATAGGGAGGAGATGTACCATTACTTACCATCATGTGATGTTATTTACCCTCATTTATTACTCTTCCTCATTACCTCCTTCTGTTTAGGTAAGTACAAGACATTTGAGGTGGAGTCCCTGCAGGAGTTTGACCAAGCTCAGCTGTTGAAGGTGTGGAATCCTGGCAGAGCTCTTTGTCAAAGGATACAGAGGAGATGGGCCATCCCTCAAGCACACACCAAGGGCGTACACGTACTCACCAATGAGGCGGTCTTCAAGAGTAAGTCTAACCTCTGTAATACCCCTTTCATACATGCAAGAGGCGTAGCAGGAAAAGCTGAATCATATGTTCTCTTTTCTTATCCCATATTTTCAGTGTATTGTATCCTTGAAATGTTAAATTAATTTTAAAAACAGTAATATATATATAGGAACAACTTTGGACAAAGACATACTGAATAGAAGTGTTTTGTCCTGCTCTCTTCTGGCTAATAATCAAAGAGAACTAAATTCAAATAATATAAATGAAAAGAAAAAGGGAACAGTTCACAATTCTTTTTTTTTTTCCAATCTTTTTTCAATGCTTGGCTTTTCTTGCATGTTGTTATGATTAGTAAGATTGCAAGCTTCAAGAGGTATTCAAAGCCATTCTTTGATCACTCATCATCTCTGTAGACATTTATAGACAATCAGTCAATTTTTAGTTCACTTCTGAAGTCAGGTACAGTCTTATTGGAGAAATAGTCATGTTGATGCATTTATCTTTCATGTGTTTAAATGCATACAGCTAAATTGTATCTTTAATGAAAATCATTTCTTGTCTTGTTTTGTAGATCGTTCTCTGACCAAGCTCCTGGATCCTCTGCATTATGTTGCTATTGTGCTGACCTGAAGTGATTCCGTGTGTCAGACGTCCTCTGCCGTGCTTTTGGAGAGTTCTAAGAGAACATGCAGGAGGATCTTCAGGAGTTTTAATGAGTGGTGAAGGGGGTCTTGCAAGCCCAGGACAGTCTTCAGGAGGATCTTCAGATTTTCTGAGGGGCGTTTCAAAAAACTTTTCATCAGTGACAAATGATATTTGTTGTCATAAGCTACTGAAATCCTTGCTTCTGATTGGTTATCAGCAGATTTGTCACTGATTTTAGTCATTTGTCATTGAAAAAAAGGATTTGTGAAATGGGTCCCAGGACTGACTTCTAGAGGATCTTCAGTAGACTTATTATGAGCTTTTTAGGGGGATCTTCAGGGCAGTCTTCAGGAAGATCTATAGGAGTGTTTCATGGCCGTCCTCGGGACTCTCCTCAAGCCCAAAGATCTTCACAATCAAGTTCTTGGAGTTACCGGAATTGCTCACTAGGATTGAAGTACATTGTATATTCAGCTTTTTCCCAGCTAGATGACCACATTCACTCTTACTAAATAAAAGTCCTCTCGATACGCCTGCCATATTTTTTGGTGTCCAGGGGGGTGTTTCACAAAGCTTGTCATCAGTGACAATTGACAGTTGTTGTTATAGGCTACTGAAATCCTTGCTTCTGATTGGTTATCAGCAGATTTGTCACTGATATTTGACATTTGTCATTGAAAAAAGGCTTTGTGAAAGGGGTCCCATTAGCCATATGAGCATTAAAGCACTCAACACTGCATTCTTACTTGAGTGTGAGGACAAATCAATGTCAGGAAGTGATCCTTTTAGCATCCAGTTAGAATGCTGCCTCATGGTAGTCAGGAGTCCAGTTGGGGGTACATTAGTCAAAGATGGAAAGATCATTGAATGTGGCCGTCATTAGAAGTAAAATTCTGTTTTCTGCAATGAATCGCAAATCTATTGTTAAGGTCAAGCAGCTGTGTTTTACTAAGGTGTACTCTACCATAAAATGATTGTCGTGTGAGAACTATAAAGAATACCATTTGGACATTTCAATTATGCATAACCCCAAACATGTCATTGAGCCTGTGTGTTTGTTTGATAAGGCAACTGAATTTGCAGTGTTTTCTTTTCTTTTCTTTTCTTCTTGATTATAAGCAATTTCTATCTTGATCATCTGCATGAAATTTTGAGAATGGAAATCTTCAATTCTGAAATTCTACATAACTAAATGTTGTGTTAATTTTTTTCTTCAAAGCAGACATGCTGTGGCTGTAAATGTATAATGTAGATGTGTCCGTTACTAATCTCTAATTATATTGATGGTCCTTATTTTTACTTTTTGCCCCAAGGGAAGGGAATAAAGGTTACATCACATAATTGGAATTGATAATTATAACATTCATTTAAATGTATATTGCTTGACATTTACATGTACAAGTCAAGATCATTTTAACATTGACAAGATACAAGATATCAATGTCAGCCCCACTGTAGTTCTGTGCTTGATGCCTACTAGTGGCAAAGTGTTGCTATATGAAACTGGGAAAAAAAGGATTTATGAATACAGGTACTAGTAGTACTTGGATGAATATTATTTTTTGAATTTGCTAATGTCCAATCTTAGAATCAGTAAAGTAATTGTATTCATATTTGTCCATGTAAGATTGCTTTTGAAAGCAACAAGATTTGACACTTGTTTAAAATTGTTTGAATTTGAATGAATTTGAATGATTTGAATTATATAAATATATAGTTATTTATTAACAGACTTCTTTTGCTATATCCTTGCACATTTTTTACTACACCATTAATATTGGGTGAGTTAATCCTTCATACTAACTTATTCTGGCTCAAATCGATTGATCTCTGATTTCCAAGAGAGCCATTGCCATACATCCCTACTGCACATTGCACCACAGCCCTTAGTTTCTCTGTTTGTGAATGGTCGGGTCAGTTGCAGGGTTCCACTACTCCACCAATTTAAGATTTGTGGGGCATATAAAGCGTTGATCTACGTCTGTTTGTTTCTGTATTTATGGTGTACAGTGAAAGTCTTAATCATTCATACCCCTACCAAGTTTTGTGATTATTTTTTTTTAAAGTGTGAAATATTGTTTCAAACATCTTAAAGTATTCAACAAAGGCCCTAAATAAACCCCAAAACATCAAATTTTACAAGGGGTATGAATAATTGACTTGTTAACTGTTTGTAAGGAGATACATGACCATGTGGCTTTTTAATAATAATTTTTTTACAAAAACTAATTTTGTTTTGCTAACTATGGTATGCCATCTGCTGAGAGCTTGCAGAGCTTAACTCTATGTAAAGCACAAGCCACTGACCTAGAGGCTGTTCACACCGGCAGAGATAGTGCGCGCTAGACCGTGCTATCTCTGTGGTTTGGAAGGTACAACGTCGTTTTGGTCCGCTCAACAGCGAGCCACGGCGCGCCAAAACGGCGTGCCACTGGAGCACCTCTTGGGGGTGGTCCACGAGAGATAGCGCGGTCTAGCGCGTGCTAAAAAAAAGGGGGTGCTACGTTAGACCACGCTATCTCATTACGGTGTGAACAGCCTCTTGGACATCATCTTTGAATCATGTGAACATTACAGTGACATATGATGTATTCTAAATATGATTTTTATGGGCAACTTATACAATAGAGTATTGAAATCGCCTTGAGGTTATTTCTTGTTATTTGGAAGTCTTTGTGAGTCTTATGCTGTTTAATGAGGCCAGTAAAAGTATTCTGTTAGATAAGTCATTTTGTAAGATAAAGAGGTAACAATTCAGAGTGTGTAATTTATACACAGTGCTGAATTTAACGTCTTTTTATAGTTTTAATATTACGTGAATATTGTAGAATGAATGTTACATTTTTTTTATAGTGATTACTAAGTAATTAATTTTCCTCTATGCTAGGTGCATATTTCCTGTCTTACGTTTTTAGCCAATGATCATAAGGAACATAAGATACTTTTGAGTAGTCTGGACTAGCTTGGATGCAAAAATTAATTTAAAGCTAAAGCCCCTTCACACCAGGCAATGCATAGTGTTGCGTACCAACTATGCATACGCTGCCCTACCCTGCCCTACGCTGGCCTAAGTAACTATTTACTATACGCTGAGGGACGCAAAGGGGTACGCGAGATGGACGCACTAGACGCAGAAATTACGCATTTTTGTACGCAAGTCTATGCAACACTACGCAACTCTACGCAGATCCCTTGTGAAAGGGGCTTAAAGGTAAAGGCCAGTTTTGGAAACGCCCCCCTCTCAAAAAATGAAATGGAAGCTCTTATTACCAATCATGGGAAAGAATATTTTTGACTAATACGTGATCACACAAATTTTGCCGAGAAACCGCCTACTAATTGATATATTTGGTATTTTATTATATCTATTTGGACCTGATAGATATAACGCATGTGTCGTGCACGTGTGCGTAGTCCCATATACATCTTTCTTTGTACAGTGCTTGTAACTTTACCAAGACTGGGCCAAATTTCTTATCATTTTGATGATTCCAGAACCTTGCAGTACACACCAAGACTTATATGCTAGATGATCAACCTTTTCTGATCGATTCCACAACGTCTCTTTCACAATGCAATCGCATGACCAGAACTGGTCTCTATCTTTAAGACTTTCAAGAGATCTACTCCAGGGCAATTTTAATATGCCATTGTATTGCCTACAGAAATTGTGTTTGGATTATGTAATAAGTCATTGTATTGTTTGCACATGTCACTAGGTGACACACAAGGCTATTGAAATTGCCTCAGGTTGCATTTTAGAAAGTCTTACAATTGTGTCATGTAAGCTATAGGTGTAAATGTGTTGTCTGACATTTTCAGCCAATGCCTTCAATGAGAAAATGGAATATGTAGTGGCGTATATCAGATAATAATGCACTGAGTTCAATGCATATCTTTCACACATAGCATGATGTCATCTGTCAAGGGTCACGATGGTATTAGCTCATATACTTTAACACAGAGTCAACAGCCTTGCGGCTTCACACATAGTTTGTGCTCAATTCACAGCACCTGGGCATTAATACCCAAAGGCATTTAATGTGTTTTTATTACAAGTCTTGTCATATTATAGGCTGGTGGATGGTATATGGCTCTCAGCAATTTGCCCTCCAATGTGGTTTCAAAAAGGAAATGAAGATATCAATGAAAATTGATGTATCATATTCACAAAAGGTAATTCAATTCAATTTCAATTTTTCAATTCAATTTTTTCAATTTCAATTCAATTCAATTTCAATTTTTCAATCAATGAAAATATAGTTGGAAAATTGATATTTTTAATTTACACTAATATCAAAACTATTTATGAAAGGGAATATTTTGTATGACAATTTGTAATTTTGATTGTCTTTTAAAGAGTCAGAAGGATATTAACCCGTTGACTACTGAATTATCTAATTCCCATAGGCTTAACACAGGGACCACCAGGTTCCAGTAAGCAATGGGTTAATTTTGTCTTTTTGTCTTTGAGTTATGTTATTTATAGTTTGTGAGTTAATGACCATCTGGCTCTCAACAGACTACCCTCCAGTGTGATGTAAAGAAGGAGAACGTCAGCAAGTAATTTATAAAAAGATTTGATTAGGAAATTTAATTCTTATTGTCTGTCGTTTGCAGAAAAAAAATGTTGTTTTTGAATATCCCTGATGTTGATGTTTTTGACAATAAAGTTATTCACTTGATATTCACCCATATATTCAGTTTCTAATATCTTTTTTTTTATGGTGCTGTGCTCCTTGTATTTGCTAGTGTTGTTCCTTATTGATTGTATTATGGGTGGAAGTGTTGATGCTAGATGTGTACTCACTGATAAGATATTATAACTTACGGAAGGACTTTTGAAAAAGGAATGAAATGAACCCTTTCGGACTCGATATTGCACCCCTAAATCATGACTGTATTCGGGATTGTCCGAAAGAAGATGGATTTGCGCCTTGAACATTATTCCGCGAATCCTTCATACCTTTCCAGACTCACTTAGAGGGACAGCGGATAAGATAGACCGAAACCGAAATTGACACATCTTCTTCCCATTGGGTTTTCCCAGGCCTTATCTATCCCTTCCCCCTTCCCCCTGTCCCCTCTCCCTTTTTGTGTTCTAAGTAGAGGGGAGAGCAATCGCTCAGGCCTCATGGATCCGCCTTTGCCTAAAAATTGCTGGTAAAAGTTTGTCTTGCTTAATTGCTGTGACGGGGAACGAACGCGTCACC